ACAGCTGCTAATTCTGCATCAGATTTTCAAAGAGGGCTGTTTACAGAGTAACCACACATACCAAGGTTGCAACCCACCCCTGAGTTCTTGCCAACTCCGTCTAAAACTGCTGGTTTTCTGACTCTCTTTGTGTCCCTGCTTAAAATCAAATTGCTTCAATTTTGGCCCACATCCCACCACTAAGAGAACACTGATTTTAGATCCCACCCTGCAGGCAGCTTGCTAATTAATGGCATGCGCTCTCCAGGGAGGCTTGCCTGGTGCCTATGCTGTTATCTTTTCAGCACCAGGCAAAGACCTTTTCATTTTCCGGCTCTTTTAAAAGCAGAGGGGTTTGTGTGTGTGTGTGTGTGTGTGTGTGGCTTTTTCTTAAAACAGCTCTAACTCTGCTGCTTCATTGGCTGCTTGATTTTATTGCACTGTTAATGATAGTACACTTTAATCTGAATGTTCTGTAATCTACCTCATAAAAATCTAACAGCCCTGCTGGATCAGGTAAAGGTCCATCTGGTTCAGCATCCAGTTTTCAAAGTGGCACAGCAGATGCTCTAGGAAGCCAACAAATAGGCCATAAAAGCCACTGCCTCCAAACACTACGCAGGGGTGCAGAATCCCAAGCCTTGGGGCCAAATCTGGGTCCACCCTAATCTAGTCCTCCAGGGTTTCCCAAAAATGTATGTTTTGCACTCCTGAACACACTGGTTACACATACCCTTCCCCATCCTGGTAAATGCCAGATGTGTGGGTCTGCTTGGCTGGAGAAATCTGAGAATTGTAGACCAGCACATCTGAAAGCCACCAAACTGCAGAAGGCTGCTATAATGACTGGTATCCTACGAGGGGACACTCTCATTCAGCAACTGTCATCTGTTCCCATTTTTCAGAGTGTAATTAAGAGCAGCATGAATGATTTCTGGTTGTCAGCAAAGTTACCACAGCAAACCTCACTGTTTGTTTTCTGGCTTACTTTCTGAGGGCAATCCTCCCATCTTCCTCCTGCTCCTGAATCTACTGCCAGCCATCCAATTTCATTCATAAGGTGACTCCAAACGCGCAAATTATGAGAGGACAAAAGCTTCCTGTTGTCTTTATTCATGTCATGCATAACTTCTATCTGCTTTTCTGCCACATAATATGTACAAGTCTATTCAGAAGGAAGACCTATTGTTCTCAAAGGGGATTACTCACAGATATAGGGACATGGGATTGAAGCCTCCCTCATTTTCTTCCTCTTAAACAGGGCACCCTTTCATTGAAGACAAGGAGCTCTGACCCCCTGATCATTTGGGGTGCCCTTTCCAGTATTCATTAGCAGCACCTTCAAGCCTGGCTGGGGGCAGCAATTGGAAGAGAAGAGAAGAGAAGAGAAGAGAAGAGAAGAGAAGAGAAGAGAAGAGGCAACTCATTTTCAGTTAAAAAATGGAATAAGAAATACATTTTTTTTCCTGGCTGAGGCTCCTGTAATAGCTGTCTAACAGCCAGAAATTCTGCAGCTAAAGCTTTTCCTGTCACAGCATTGCATATGCTAGGAAAAGCTTTTACTGCTGAATTTGTCACACAACTGTTAAAAGATATGGGGTAGGGGAAAGGTAAGACTGTCCTTTTTTCCAGAAGAGAAGGGGAATCCATTGTTTATTGGATCAAGCTGATTCACTTACAAGGACCTGGATCTAGCTTGGCTGTTGTCACATGCCATCAAGTCATCTCCACTTGTGGTGACCATATGAAAGAAAGTCCTCCAAAATATCCTATCCATGACAATCTGGCTCAGTTCTTCCAAATTCAAGACTGTGGATTCCTTTGCAGAGTTAATCCATTTCATATTTGGGCTTCCTTTTCTTCTTCTACCTCCAGCTATTCGTCCAAGTGATTTTGCCTTCTCATGATGGGCCCAAAACATGACATCTGCTCTCCTCATGCATAAAACAAAACAATTAATGACTCTGAGCAAGGCTACCTCAACAAACTCCTGCTCTTATTGAGCATCTGTTGATCCTCCTCACAGCCACAGTAATATTTCGGCTAGAGCAGTGATGGCGAACCTTTTAGAGACAGAGTGCCCAAACTGCAACCCAAAAACCACTTATTTATTGCAAAGTGCCAACACTACAATAAAACCTGAAAACTGAGGTTATAGTTCAGAAAAAACAACTCACAGCCAGTCCAAGCATGAATACATACATACATACATATATGCTTGGCAGCGCACTGACCGGCCATGCGAAAGCTCAGACGAGTGGCAGCTAATGAGTCACGGGTCATGACATCATTGCCGCTACTCCTTTCCGAACATGCGCATGGCCCCTACATGCGCTGTTGTACGATGCTCGGCTGCTGGGGCAATGCTGGGGCGACTTGGCTCGCGTGCTGACAGAGAGGGTTCTGCATGCCCGCTGTGGCATGCGTGCCAGAGGTTCACCACCAGTGCACTAACACTACCCTGGTGCACTCCCCTAACCCTAATATAGGGGTAAAATACCATTTTGATAAAGGCTTCCTTGAGTAGCTTTTTCTGCACAGCTCATCATTTCTGCCCATTATAAATACATTCCAACCATCAAATTCATGCCAGGACACCTCGTTTTTCTAACCCTAACCCTACTCTGGTGCACACCCCTAACCCTAATACAGGGCTTAAGTTCCATTGAAAATAGGACGAATTTGAAAAAGCCTTTCTTGTATAGCCTCTTCTGCACAGCTCAACATTTCTGCCCATTCTCAACACATTCCAACCATCAAAATCATGCCAGGACACCTTGTTTTCCTAAGTTCATGAATATTTTCTCAATAGCCTGAATTTACTTGTCCAAGCAGACCCAGAGATGGGTTCAAGTTTCTGGAATTTACTCAACTGAAATACACTGCAATTAGAGATAGTGTAATCTTATTGTCAGCATCAGTATGCTGATGATACCCAGCTCTACCTCTCGTTTTCCACCAATCCAGGTGAGGCAGTGGCTGTACTGAACCGGTGCCTGGCCGAGGTAATGGGCTGGATGAGGGCCAATAAACTGAAGCTCAATCCAGACAAGACGGAGGTCCTGTTGGTTGGCGGTTCGGGCTTCGGAGAAGGTGACCTGAACCTTGTCCTGAATGGGGTTGCACTCCCTCCTAGGGACAAGGTCCGCAGCTTGGGAGTGCTCCTCGACCCAGAGCTTTCACTTGAAGCTCAGGTGACAACAGCGGCGAGGAGCGCTTTCCTCCAGCTTCGGCTGATTCATCAGCTGCGCCCCTACCTGGAGTACGACTGCCTTGCTACAGTGACTCATGCGCTGGTGACTTCCCGTCTTGACTTCTGTAACGCGCTCTACGTGGGGCTACCCTTGAAGACGGTCCGGATACTTCAGTTGGTTCAGAATACTGCTGCCAGGCTGCTGACGGGGACTGGACGTTATGTTCACATGACTCCAGTTCTCCGTCAGCTTCACTGGCTCCCCATTGAAGTCCGGGCCCAATTCAAGGTGTTGGTAATGACCTATAAAGCCCTAAACGGCTTGGGTCCTGGTTACCTGAAGGAGCGCTTACATCCATATTTGCCCAGTCGCCCCCTGAGATCGGCGGGAGAGGCCCTTCTCCGGGAGCCCTCCGGGAGAGAAATTAGGAGGGTGGCTACTCGGAGAAGGGCTTTCTCAGCGGTGGTGCCTAAGTTATGGAATGCGCTCCCCAGAGAGGTCCGCCTGGCGCCGTCGTTATTTATTTTTCGGCGCCAGGCTAAGACCTTTTTATTTAAGCAACATTTTAAATGCTAAATACAATTGAATTTTATCTGGCCAGGGCGGCTTATTTTATAATGTGTGTTTTAATTAAGATTATTTTATATGGCTATTTTAACTGATTGTTTTATCTATGTTGTAAGCCGCCCCGAGGCTTCGGCGAATGGGGCGGCATAAAAATGTTTTAATAAATAAATAAATAAATAAATTGTCACTTGTATGTTTGGCTGATCTTCCTGATCTGTTCTGTATATGATCTCAGATTTCATTGTAATGTCTGCCTTCTGTCATTAATTGTTCTGTACCTGTGTAAGTGACAGGGAGAGTATAAAATGCTCTGTACTTGTATTGAAACCTAGCAATTGACTTTGCCTCTGCCTGGTAATGCATTATTGTTAGTGGACTGCAGGATCCCTGGGGCTTCCAACAATAAAGCAGCAGAGGTTAAAACATTTGATCTTTCCCATGAACCCTTTTATTTTCTCCTCACAAATTGAAAACCGAGATTCTGTCAGTTTCAGCAGTGCAGAAATACTACAAATAATAAATATTAAATAACCTTAAACCAAGTCAATTTCAATGGGTCCGCTCGATGTTTGACTAATTTTGGATCCAACCCTGTATTTGCAAATTTAAAATTGCCAACAGTTCAGAATTGCGGACTTTCAAAATAAACCCAGAAACAAAATTCCAAGGTCAATTTGGCAGTGCACATTTAGAGCCAATTTAAACACGAGTTACTGGACTTCTTAAGAAGGCATAATTGATCGGGTAGCAGCCAGAATACTAACGGAGCGGTCTACGCATCCTCGATACTCTATTGTGTTTAGAAGCCGACATCCGGTAGACTTCGAACGACTTCCGCAATGGCAATATTGAAGTCAAAAAAGGGGTTTTGATGTGGGGAGGGGGAGCAGAAATAATTTCCTGTGTGTTTTTAACCGTTCCTCTGTTGAACCGACTTCCGGCCGAGAAATAGGGGGACAAAGCTGGTCTTCGTGAGGACCTTCATTAGCTCGATGAATGCCTTGTAATTAATACTTCTGGTCTTCCTAGTCCTTCCTATTCCCACACTGAGGGAGCGAGGGGAGGAAAGGGAGATAGGGACACGTAAAAGGCGGGAGCTGAGCGCGCATGCGTATTAAGACCCGGTAGACTGCTCACTTTCCTCTGGGGGAGGGACTGTTTTCATTACATGCCCTCCCAATCCGAGAAGGGGGAAGAAAACAGAGGGCGGAGAAACCGCCAGGCAGGGCGCGCGCCTGCGTAGTCTCGCGCGTCCGCTCCATTCGAATCGCCCTCCCCGCTCCCCTGTATCCTTTCCCCCCTGCGCGCCGCTTCGGGCTGGGGTGCGAAAACCAGAGCAGGGATGCGGGACCGGACGCGCGAGCTCAGAGAGGTGAGGAACGTTCCCCTTCGCTTCGCGCGGCTGGCCACGCCCACCAGGGCCTGGCTTGCTCCGCCCCTTTGCTGCCTTCGGCGCCGCACTTGCTTGGTTTCGGCCCCCCCAGTTTTTCGCCTTTTAGGCTCTTCTTTTGTTCTTCCCCCCCTCTGCAGCTTTACCTGCTCTTCAGTTCACCCCCCTCCGCTTTCCTGCTTCATACTGGCGTAGAGGTTCTCCTTCAGAACCCAAGTCGGCCCCCCTCACCTTCCCCAACCCGGCGCCCTCCGGGCTGCCCGGAGCGTCGAGATTTCCAGTTCCCCTGAAGCAATCAATCCCTTCCCCGGTGCCAGCTTTTCCCTCCTTCCACCAACCCCTCCCTTGCTAGGAGCTCCAATTTTAGCTTGCTTTTAGCAGACCCTGCAATCCTCCCCAGGACGGATGCCTCTCGCAACCCATGGCAGGAAAAGCTTTGCCCAGCCTGTATTTTCCGTCCAAGCTTCAGGCAGCCGGCTGGACTTCGTTTCGCTGTCACGCCGCTGCTTTTGCCACCCTTCCCTGTGTGACTCTGGTGTGTCTCCTCCCCGGTTCTGCTCCCTTTACAGATGGCCCCCGAGCCCCATGAGATCTACCCCAAGAATGTTTCTCACCAAACTGCTCCCAGTGCCTCCCCCCGCACGTGCTTTCACGTCTCATATGTTCCCCAGCCCACCATAGCAGAACAGGCTTCGCGTCGCCCCCCACTCCATTTCCCCCTTCCCTTGCTCTCCCAGTAAAAGCTTGCTTCCTTGCCTTCAGTATCGGTGTTTAATTTTTTTAAAAATCCCGAAAAGGGCTTTGGGTCCTGGGGATTTGCAGAAGAGAGTTGGAGGTGCAAACTGTGGCCAAGGCAAAATTGCATCCAGAACGAGAGGTTCCAGCGATCCGCCGAGGTGCGGGTTGCGGGGAGCTCTCGCCATGGGTCGCCGCGGCCCAGCCTAACCTGGCCGCCCTGAAATCTTGGGAGCAAGGTCAGGGTGGGGAAAAGAGGCCATCAATATAAAATAACCCATGTTATGTTAAGGGTTTGCCTCCTGTGGGATTGCAAAAGGGAGCCCTGGCTATTGGGTGGTATAAAAATAAATAAACCGGGTGAGAGAGAGCCCAACTTGTTTCTGTTCCAGGGTTTGAGCAAGGTTTGCAGATGTGTTCCTACAAAAACAATCTTTCCTTTATTTCTAAGTGGTGTTCTGGATAGTTCTGGCAGGCACCCCAGCCAATGCTAAGTCTGTCTTCTGTTATCTTGCTTTACAAAATGTAGCCAATCCTTCAGGATGTCTTCACCTCTGAATATCAATCTTTTTAAAATGTTCGTGTCTGCCCCCTATGGATGTTCTACAACATGAGCCAATACTTTAAAAATGTATTTTCTTTGACTTTATCTGTAAGCCTTCATAATTGCCTGTGGTGTCTTCTAGAAAAGAGGCCATGGTGGTTCCATACTAAGATACAAACTACCTTTTGTTTTGTTTTTCTTCCAGTTTGTAGCCAGTCAGTTAAATTTTCCACAGGGAGGGAGTTGGCGTTTCTGCAATGCAGACACCATTCTGTGGTCTTCAGCCTCAGCCCCACTGAATCATAACCTGTGGTTAAAGTTTAACTGACTACAGCTGGTAGCCCGAATTAAATTGGAGTAACATTTCTGCCACCTGCCTAGATGCATTTTGATAAAGCAAGCTGGTGGCCTTTGAAAGTTTATGCCGCAATTAAGTCTGGCAGTGTTGAAGGTGCTATTGCAGTTCTTGATGTCTTTACAAGCCGCTGCTGGGTTTGTTCTGTGTTTTTATGTTTCAATTGTGTAAATATCTTCATTTCCATTATTGTTTTATGGGAACTGCCTTATGTGCTTCTTTGGGAAGGCAGGTATGCGTATCATGATTACGAAGGCTGATGTTCTTCAACATTGCACTGTATTTTAGGCATGCTTTTGGTTAAGTGCCTTGTTAGGACCGCTCAACAAGGGCCAGCCCTGTGCCTCTGTCGGAATGGAGGAGATGATCACCCTGAACTTGGGAATAGCTCGAAGGGGTGCAGTGTTCCAGTGATGCTTTTCCCCCAAGCTGACATCCCAGATAGAAGAACGCAACTTTCAAACATTGTGCTTGCATGCATAGGATAAGGGAATATGTAAGGACCTGAAGCCCCATCACCAACCACTGAAAACCTTATTCACCCCTTTTCTGGCCTTTGATATTTCATCAGGCATTGATGATGCACTTACAAGCATATCTTACCAACCACAAGAGCTAGGATTTTTTCAGTTGATTTAATAAAAAGTATTCTTGGGATGCCACATTTTAAGGTTTTCTGTGATCCAGCAGAAATCTGGTTTATACTCAGGCTTATATTTAAGACAGGTTTCATCCATCTAAGCTGGGGAAACAAAAATACTCCTTACTGCTTACAGATAAGACATTTAAATCCAAGGGAGTTGAAGCAAAATACAGATATAAAGTACAAAGGTATTACACCATACAAACAACAGCTTCTCTGGTACAGGACTTAGTCCCAGATATCTCACTTGTTGTATGTACTAGTATCTGTACCTAGTCAAATAGTAACACGTAGCTTTCTAGTTTATATTAAATTAAGAGAGTGCAGCAAGAATGCTTACTGAAGCTCTCAGTGCCCAGCTCATCTTCCTATTTTCCTTTTACATGGAATGACATAAATACAAACCAGTGAGGGGACATGTAGTTTTGATGTTTCATAAATCACAGTTGCCATCTTGGGTTCCACACAGGAAAACGGACAGCATGGCCATTATTTCAACCTGAAAGTCACTGACAACCATAAGTCTACAACTTCTATGTAGTTCTGCATCCTATTATTACAGTCTACAGTAATGGATACAATTACCTAATCCACCAGCAAGTTTTTCATGTACAGTCATGTTCAGTATAGGCATCTTGCAATAGCCCTTGAAGACAGTCCGGATACTTCAGATGGTGCAAAATAGAGCAGCCAGGTTGCTGATGGGAACTGGGCGTTATTCTCACATAACCCCAGTCCTCTAACAGCTTCACTGGCTCCCCATCGAAGTCCGGGCTCAATCCAAGGTGCTGGTTATCACCTACTGGGACCTGAATACCTAAAGGAACACCTCCTTCCATATTTGCCCTCCCGCCCCCTGAGATCGGCAGCAGAGGCCCTCCTCCAGGAACCCTCTGGGAAAGATATTGGGAGGCTAAGTACCCGGAGGAGGGCCTTCTCTGCGGTGGTGCCCCACCTATAGAATGTGCTCCCCAGAGAGGTCCGCCTGGTGCCGTCGTTATTTGTTTTTCAGCGCCAGGCTAAGACCTTTTTATTTAAACAATATTTTAACAACTTTTAATATCATCTATAGGTTTTAATTTGCAGCCAGGGTGAATCTGGATTTTATATGCACTATTTGTATTATGTTTGTTTATTTTATGTAAGCCGTCCCGAGGCTCATGCGATGGGATGGCATACAAAAATTCTAAATAAATAAATAATAAATAAATAAATACTTTGACATCTTCTCAACCTTACCTTGCCAATGGAAAAACCGCCCACTATTCACAAATTTCTGTAGATTGCAGGAAGCTAGTAGACATAGTAGCTGGGGGAAGATCAGGACACGAAAGTACCGGGTGCAGTACTGTTTTGTCCATTCTTAATGACCGTTAGCTCAGTACCAGGTCAGCTTATGCTATGTCAGGATTTTAGGCAACCTTGAAATAATAGGATTTATTTGCTCCTGTACAGCAGTGGATAAAACATTTAACACTGTGTAAAATGAAATGAGTCATATTTTTGTTTTAAACCTTCATAGTTAGCTGTTCTGGTATCACTTTTTTAAAGGTGAAGAAATGAATAAAATTGTTTGTTGCAAAATCAATGCATTTCGCATCTCAGCTTCTCCTCTGTACCTTTTCCTGTAGCACATGAACAGCGCATGCTTTCCTGGGCGCATGGATCTCCTTACTCTTCATTTCTCTCTCTCTCCACACAGAAAGAGGATGACTCGGACAGCGAAGGAGCCGAACATGTGGCGCTTGTCATGCACCCAGGATCAGCGAAACTCGGTGACTTTCCAGATCCCAATGACACATTCTTTCAAATGGTACGATATCTTTCTGAGCAGTGATGAAGTTGACAGTTCTTTTGCCTTGCATGAGTGTTCATAAATACATGCGTGCACAGTCATCAGTGCAAGACTATTTTCACCCGCCCGCCAAACCTCAGCCTCTGACCGTTTCTCTCGCCCTACTTTTCATTCTCAAACTACCCATTCTGTGCTGCTAGTCTAGGCGGGCACGAGGGTTACCCCTTCCACCCACATGCCAAAGGTCGAGGGCAAATAACAAGGTGCTTGTCTTCAGGACCCTTTGTGGCCTGGGACTGGTATCCCTGAGGGATCTCCTGCCTCCTGATCAGCCTGTCTGTAAGCTAACATCTTTAGGGGCTCTTCTGCTGGTGCCCACGCCCCCAGCTGAGGTAAGGGAAGTTGAGACACAAGAAACCTCCTTAATGTCAGTGTCCCAGCTGTGGCACATGCTCCCCACACAGGGTTCCCAGTGCCTCATTATCTTTCTAATGCCAGAAAAATCTTGTTTAAAAAATTTCTCACTCCCTCTGACATTGGTTTGATGCCGATTTTATATCCTATTTGTATTTTGCATGTAGTTCTATTGTTCTTGTTTTTTGAGCCTTGAATCTGATATTTAATATGCTATAAGCTGCTCTGGGTAAAATAGTCGCATATAAGGGTAGCATATAAGGTTTTTTATAGCAAGATAAAAGGATTGGAAAGAGGTTGCATTCCAGCACCTGATATCTCGTTGTGGAAACCTAGACTACATTGGTTTTGCCTGCACGCAATGGCGTTTGCTTACAATTCTTGAGGATGCAAGTCACTCAATATGTTTCTTCGGTCTTTTAGAATCATTAAATAATACTTTTTTCTTACATAAATTGATCTAGTTCAGTCAGTTGGCTATGCCAGTTTGCTCTGTTAATATGTAAACAGCAGCAGAGGGGAGTGTGCTTTCCAAGCCACAGAGATCCTTCTTCATTGGCAGTTCTTTTGTATGGTGGAGCTATGGAGCCTCTGCTTTGGAAGGGAGTGTTATTAATAAGCACTTCAACGAAAAATTGATCAGGGTAAATAAAAGAATGTTTGTTTTTAATACATTATTTATTACACACACACACACACACACACACACACACACACACACACACACACACAATTTATTCTGCATTCTCTATGAAGGGGTCATTATCATTTCAGTTGGATATCCCCAGTAGCCAAAAATCTTTAAGTGGTTTGCAAAAGATCCATTACATGGAACTGACCATTCTCACCGCCTTTTCAGACTAGTAATATTCGTCAGTCCTTGAAGACTTTGGAAAGCAAAGTGAACGAACTAGAGAGGCGCCAGACGACAATTTTGGCCACGCCGCTCCCAGAGGATCGTAAGTTTGCAGGAGGTGGTGGAGTGGCTGGTAAAACAGAGACTATGAACTAGGAAAAGGTACACCTAGAGAGAAGTGCTCTGGGAAATAATGGACAGAGAATGTCTGGGGAAAGACTGAGCTCTTGGGGCAGGGTTAACAGGTACTGAAATGTCATGAGTTAGACAACTGCAGAACTACCTTGATACATAGTATAGTGTGCCTTTAGTGCATGTTATTTCTCATTAGTTCTCTACATGTCTGTCCTGCCTTGTTCTGCAAAACTCAAGGCAATGTATGTAGAATTCATAGGAAGTGTCTCACCCAGGGACTGACCAGACCAAGACCTGCTTAGCTTTATGGCATCTTGCAGGGTTACTTAGGCAATGTGGAGGATAGATCCCTGTTCCAAGGTAAGAAGGGGCCAGCTAGGGGGGAACACTTTTTTACTTTCTTAAAGCATAAATTAGGAATGGGTTTCAAGAAGATAAAACAGGCCACACAGAGAAGGTAGGCATGGGTAGGGATTTGAAGGGGGTAGGCCAATATTAGTACATGCTCAAAAAAGAAGAAAATGAGACAGGAAACTTAATGCAGGAAAAATGAAAAACTGAGCAAAACTGACATATTCATCCAGTCCTAGCATATGTAAACACACACACATCTTTTAAAAAGTCACCTGCACATGCAACCTAATCCTCCTATGGCCCAATGCAGGCCCTTGAATTTTTAACCGTGTGTTTTCCAGGCATGAAAGAAGATCTTCAAAGGCTACGTGAAGAGATCAGGGAGTTGGCAAAGGACATCCGGAGTCATCTGAAGAGTAAGTGTGGGTAGAGGATTCAGCTTCAGCAGGAGAAAGGGAGAGAGCAGCGTGTCAGACCTCCTTGTCTCTGCCCTTCAGCTTAGTGGGGGTCTTTCTATGGGCTGCAGTTAAGACCTTTGATTTCTGTCGCCAAGAGAAAGCAATGTTTCCTAACCGTGGCCCTTGGGTTCTTTCATGTAGAAATTGAGCCCAAGAAGGATGGAGAAGACGAGAACAAGAATTCGGTCAACACCCGTATGAAGAGGACCCAGGTGAGGGACAGCCAAACTAATTGGTAGGGAGCTGGTGAGGGGGCACGAGGGGTGTGCGTAACTCTTTATTTACATTTCTGCCTCAGCATGGAATCCTGTCGCAGCAATTTCTGGATCTTATCAACAAGTGCAACTCCACACAGTCAGAGTACAGAGACCGGAATATGGAGCGCATCAGGAGACAGCTGCAGATTAGTAAGTTATGCTTTCCATAAGCTAGTGCCTTCTTTAGTGCTAACCTGGTCACCTGTTACTGCAAGGCTGCTATTCACTAGAGCTGCCCCAGAACTCACAAGAACAAGTGATGGCGCCACTTACAGAGTAGACTGCAAGACTGCGATTTGTCCAAAGCCAAAGCCTTCTGGATTGCTTTATGGCCGAGTTGCCCGAGTCCATACAGGATGTCCTTAACTCCGCCACACTGTTGTTGTCTGGAAACGGATTTTCAGAAAAACACAAGCTATGCCATTCATTTTGCTAACCAGGGCATCTGTGTTCACGCCATCTAGCACATCTTCTAATTCCCGAAATTAATTTCTAGTCTTTAAAGAAGGCAGATTGATAATGTGGGCTTCCAGTAACACGGGCTGTGAATTTCTTTCATCTTTCTTTTCATGGCTGAAAACTTGATGAGCAGAATGTTTAAGATGTAAAACTCCGAATGGAGCAGTTTATTTGGCTTTTTCTTAAAAGTACACAGCTTTGGCGTAAGCAACATACAGCAGCATAGCTATTGGGGGTTGTGCTGTTACTATGTATGAGAAAAGGAAGTGTGAACAGTTCAAGGCGCGTTCACACTTCCTTTTCTCTTGCAAAGTAAGAGCAATTTCCAGACTCATGACTTCTGATTTTATACAGGGACATCTGTATAAAATCCTTGCCAGCTGACTCCTCCCTGTTGTAAGTTTGCAGCTATAACTACTGACCAAAGACAGACCAAAGCTGCTCGCATCGTGAGGGTGCATTTGCCACCATGTGGAGCCTCAGTCTAACTGTAATCCTGTATTGGACTTCATTAAATTTAACAATTAATTGGTTTTATCCTTGTTTTTACTACTATTTTAGGTGCAGTGTGCTGTGTGTTATGGCTTTGTTCTTGGTTTTCTGCTCCTTGTAAGCTGTCCAGAGGCTTTTTAGTAATGGACAGCATAGAAAAAGTTTCAATAAATAAAATTAGTAAAGCTCAGGAGAGGACAAAGGAATAGTGGACAATTAGCAGTAGCCAAGAACATTGGTGGCTTCTCTGAGGAAGAGAATTTCTCCATTTTTCCTTTTATAACTTTTTTCAAAAGTGGGGTTAACAAACATGGGGATTCAGTTTGGGATGTGAATCAGGAGGAGGTACAAGTCCCAGAAGGTAGATCAGATGTATAATTTCTAACTTAGTACTATGAGATCTCATGAAATCAAGGGATCTGGTTTTTCTAAAGGTTGGCTGCATTCCAGGTTGTTATCCTGATGAAATACAAGGGGTTTCTGGGAAACTAGCAGAACAGAACTGGAAGTGGTTTAGACTGCAGTGGGAGTGAAGGGTTGGTACAGCCTTGCCTGTATAGTCATTTCCCCCACAACCACTGTTAAAAAAAATCTTGAAACCTTTTTGTTTCGCCTTTGAACATGCACTTTTATAAAAAGCCTCGGTGACGTGCTCCTACTTGTATGCTAGCCAAGTCATCTTCCTGTGCAGCCTGATAGTGATTATCTGTCATGCTCTAAAGGAAAATGACCTTGAAAGCCAAGAGATTTGGAAGGTAAACTGCACAAACACATTTAGCTTGGGCTTTTGCAGTCAAATGAAAGGAGGTTGGATTTTGAGGAGTTTTAGCCAGCCCCAAAATGTGCAGAATAAACCATTGTTGAAATTCCTGACAGTTTGCTTGTGTTAGTCTCTCAACAGTAAATAATAATGACTTGTCCTCAAATGATAATGAGGTGGATATAAAGAGTCCTTCAGTCCTGTTGCCCCAGCCTTCAGATGAATTTGGAAGCACAAAGGATACAATATGTGCATTATGTTGTTCTAACCCTAACCCAGTGATGGTGAACCTTTTAGAGACCGAGTGCCCAAACTGCAACTCAAAACCCACTTATTTATCACAAAGTGCCAACACTGCAATAAAACCTGAATACTGAGGTTTTAGTTTAGAAAACACAACTCACAGCCAGTCCAAGCAAATATATACATATCCTTGGCAGTGCACTGACTGGCCATGTGAAAGCTTGGACGGGTCGTGGCTAATAAGTTGTGGCTTGTGATGTCATCGCCTGGCGCCACTACTCCTTTCCGAGCATGCGCATGGTCCCTATATAATAATAATGTTATAATAATAATAATAATAATAATATATGCGCTGTCATCTGATGCTCGGCTGCTGGGGCGATGTTGAGGCGACTTGGCTTGCGTGCAGACAGAGAGGGCTCTGTGTACCCGCTGTGGCACTTGTGCCACAGGTTCGCCACCACTGGTGTCAATTCTAAGCTGAACATCGGCAAAGGGACAGCTTTGTTTAGAAGAAAAGAACCGGATATCCCAATTGTTTTCCTTCCATGAGCAGATTCGTAATGGTTGCCAAGCTTATCTGGAAGACATCTTGCACACCACTTGCAGGAGAGCGTTGGGTGCCTTTAGTCTAGGGCACACATTCCATTAATTTGGGGCAAGTGGGCCGACCATGTTGGCGGACCCTCATGGGAATGTCCCACTGTGCAATGGATGCAAAGGGGCTCCTTGCAGCAGATCTGTTGGTTTGAAAACCTCTTCAGTCCCCTAAAATGATGTAAAAGAAAGCTGTCCCAATATAACCACCACAGAATATTTTTCTCTGTCTGCCCAGGATTGAGGCCTGGGCATAGAATGGCAGCTCCCTGCATGTTTTTCTTTCAGTGATGCCGTGTGCCACTAGAGGGCACTGTGGCGCCAGCCCAGAGTGGCTGCTGGGTTCTGCCTGGGGAAGTGTCAGGCTGGTGCCTCCAAGCCTGCAGATACCGGACCTTGGTATTCTGTCCCCTGTTCCAGGGTAGGACTGGTGTGGTAAGGCATCGTGTAGAGAGAACGAGGGCAAGAAGTGTGGATTTAGTTCGCAGCTCTGACAGGAGAACGGAGAAATGCTTGTTCCATGCTGAGGTTGTGTCCTTCATTCCTCTTCAGCCGGCAGTGGGGTGGTATCCGATGAGCAGCTGGACCAGATGCTGGAGAGTGGCCAGACGGAGGTGTTTGTCTCTAACGTGAGTATCCGAAGGTGGGCCCTTGAGAGGGTGGCAGTAAGAGGGTTGGTGGGTCTGAGCGTACTTAATGCCCTGTGCCGCCTCCATGCAGATCATGAAGGACACCCAGGTGACAAAGCAGGCTCTGAACGAAATCGAGACACGGCACAGTGAAATCCTCAAGCTGGAGCGCAGCATTCAGGAGCTGCATGAAATGTTCATGTACCTGGCCACGCAGGTGGAGCTGCAGGTAGGAAGCAGGGAGGGTAAAATGGAAGGGGCTGATTCAGGAAGCGCCTTTACCCTGAGTGTAGCCATTGGACCGTTGTGCTCAGCATTGGCTGCCCTGACAATAAGTGTGTGCCTGGGATTTCAGACAGGGGTCTTTTACTGCTCCGCTTAAAGATCCTGGATGTTCCTGGGATCTTTTGCCTTCAAAATCCGTGTTCTACCGCTTCTCCATTCTCCCTGCTCTGGTATGAAAGGGCCAGCTTTTGATTCTCCCTTTTTTCCTTGAGGATAAGTACTATACTGGGGTCCCTAAAGTTTGAGAAAACACATCTTCTGATGTGTATGCACATGTTTATTTTCCTCTTTTTCTGTATTGGATGACTTCAGTTTTGTTGACCTTATTCTCTGCCTTCACTCCTGATGGCTGTGCGCAGGCCCGCCCATGGGGGAACTGCTTGGCCCCTTCATCTTTCCTTGGCCACCTCTTCTTGCCTCTGTGCCAGGTGTCCTACCGTCTCACCATCACCCTTCAGTTCAGAGGTCTCTCCTTACCTGAAGTTCACCACCTCCCCTTTGACTGCATTTAGGGAGAGACTATTGATCGGATAGAGAAGAACATTTTGGACTCAGAGGACTATGTCAAGAAAGGACAGCAGCATCTGCATACAGCCCAGGAAAACCAGAAGAAAGCTCGCAAGGTAAACGGCCAATGCCCTCAGCATGTGGTGTTTCCAAGCTTGGTGTGTGTGACGCTTGCTCAGCTTCTGCCATGCAAGGACTAAACGAAACACCCTGGAGGTCTCCACCTCCACTTAAGGGGAAAAAACCAATTTTCCAATCTTTATGGTCCAGAGAACTTCTGAGATAGGTGGCCAGTGCCTGCTGAAGTCTCCAAAGCTGGAGGAGGGAGGGAACATTCAGCAAGGTGTGTTGTGGCCAGTTTCGGAGCTTGTGAGTGTCCCTTGTTCTTTTCATCTGTGGCTAGGAGAAGGATAATAAATATAGCAGGTTGCAGTCAGTCTTTGTAATTTCTTGCCTGTTCTTTTTTGGGGCTCTGTAGAAGAAGTTCATGATTGCCATCTGCCTGTCGGTTACACTGGTCATCATTGCCGCCATCATTGGTCTATCCTTCGGTTTTGGCTAGAAGATCCCCGGTTGTGTCTCTCCCTTCACGCTGCATTGTTGGAGCCTGGTGGTGAGTGCCGGGGGTCTGGGCAGAAAGGGAAGAAGCAGCTAGTTGGGGCCGGGTTGACCCAAGGTGCAGCCTTGAGCAGAGGCCTGGTAACCAGGCCAAATGGGCCTCTTGGGGTCCTCTCTCTGATAACTGTTGCGACATCTTGCTGTGGCTCCCACGCTCTTTTGCAACAGGCAGTCCCACCCGCTGGATCCATTTCAGCCAGCTCTGAACTGACCCAGCAAAGCCAGAGACACTGTCCACAGCTAATGGAGGAATGTGTCACTGTTCGTATGAGTGTATTTTGCTTCTTGCCAAGGCTGAAACATGTTGGAGGGGACTGTTACGCTGAGTAGAGGCTGACTTGGGGAATGGGATGGCTGCCCTGCTAGGTGGAAGTAGGGTGTGAGGAGCTGTGATCTGGCCCCTTCCCTTGTGAGTTTTGGATTTCCTTCCTCTACAGGGTTTCTTTCTGGCTTCATCACTGTTCTGGAACTGATATCCCCTGCTGGGGAGGCCTTTGCACTGATAGATGGCTGGTGGAAATGCCTCCTGCCTTCCTGAAAGCACATGCTGCCTATGGCTGCCGCCTCTTCTGTTCCCTGGAATCAAGGATCCCCCAGCATTTTCCCTGCATCCCAAACTGATGCTTCTGAACTCTCCTGATTGAAAGCAAGCCCTGCACTGTATTGGTTTTGGCCTTTCTAGCTTATTCCTTTTTTAACCATTTGTAGCATCTTGGGTTGTGTGTGCGCCTTTCTTCCCCAGTGAATTCTGCCTGGTCTTACCTGCTTTCAAAGGATCATTTCTTGGTCCCTTTATGGACTCAGCTGTACTTCTCATCCCCACCCCTGTGAATTCAAGGCAGAGCATCACCTGGAGCAGTCTTAGGTTTCCCTTCCTGATCACAGCAGTCGTTACCTTTTCCAATTCTTTTCTAGGCCCTGCCCATGTTTGCCCTAGTTCTTTATCACACATCCTGCCATCTTTTTAAAGCTTCCCTCTTTCCACACTGAATGTCAGTTGTCTTAACTAGGAAGCAAAGGGACAGGTGGATATTCTGCAGAATGTCGGGGTGGGTCTTCGTCCTCCACACCACATACCCAGCTCTGAGTGCCTATTAGGGGAGGCAGCAGCAGACCTAAATCTGACGGTTCCTGGCTACTGCCATCATGCTGGACTGGCCTATGGGATTTTTGTTTGTTTCTGTGGCCTTTGAAAAGGGTTGTGGGGTCTCATTTGGTTGAAGCCAAGGCCTGCGGACCAGGTTTTGCCCATTTTGGCAAAACTCTTTTCCTGTTGCCTTCAGTTTTAAAGGTGAATCTTTGTATCTCTGTCCTCTCAGTGTTGACCCTCTCCTGTGTGCCTTAAGAGTTGCATGCCCAGCACTTGGGGAGCCTGTGTATTATCTTCCTGTCTCCTTCAGGGGTTTTTTAAGTCCCCCTTGTAAAGTTGAGAGCTACCCCAGTGCCAGCACTGAAAGGACCAGGACAAAGTGGCTTTGCTCTTTTGGGAAAGCAGGTCCACAGGGCTAGGTGGTATCGAGTCTGCAGTGTGGCTGCCCTCAGTTCTGGTTGAATTGGATGTGGAATTCACAGAGGAAACAAAAGCCAAGACCTTTGGGCTTTGTTCCTGAAAATTTGATACTGTACTACTTTAAGAAAGAAAACTATCTAAATCAAAGCATTGAACAAAATGTTCTGGTTGCCTTGGAGATTGAATGTATTACAAAGAAAAGTAGCCTGACTCAAATTATTTTGTAATATAAAAATAAAAGCACTTTTTACAACATCTACAAAGCCGTGGTCTCACTGTTGTCTGTAGTGCTTAATTACCCCCAAGCTTGGAAGCTTTGACCGGAAACTGGTGGGCAGAAGCTGTGAGCTCAGTGAGCAATAAGACAGGGTTGCCGCTCACCACTGATGTTTTGCTGCCTCATGGATTCCAGGCCTTGGCCGGCATATTAGAAACCATTTCTGGGCCTGAGGCCTAGTATGAGCTAAGCTCAGTTTGATAACTCTGCGCAGCCTGTTCCATCCCAGGCTGGCATTGTCTCAAACCCCCGAAGAAATGTTTCAGAGGTAGTTTGTTCTCTCCTGTGCTGCAGGGGAAAATAGCCACTGGCAGATACAAATGTTTCAGACCTGAGGAAGAGGAGGTTTTCTTACATTACAGACTTTTCTTGAATAGGGGTTTCAAATTTTGCCTTAAACCAGATCTCCCACAATATAAGCTCCAGATAGAACAAAGTTCTCTAACAGCTGCTTCATTCCACTGTGTTCCCTGCATCCAACGGGAAGGGATGAGGGATGGTACTGTATGAGACTTTTGAGATGCAAAGGAAAGTTACATATTTTGGGGCACGTTGTTACATTTTCTTCGGAACCTCCAGGAAGTGTCATCCATTTGCAGCATCAAGGGGCCATCAGATCCAAAAGGAAAGCTACAACGCTCTAGTAAATGCACTAAGGCTTGGTAGTGAGCACAGAGGTTTCCAATACATGTTCTAAGATTCAGAAGAGAGGAACCTAATTTCACAGTATAACCTCCACCATCCCAAATCATAAATCAGTCATGATGAGAAGTACTGGGCTTTTTACTCTAGAGATGCAGACACTTCCTGCTCTCTATTATCTCAATAGCTTTGAGAATTTTTATGGAATGAAAAGTTCAGGCTAGATTTTCAGGCCTGTAGGGGGTGCAGTCATCCTACTTCAGCATTTTAAATCAGGTGGACAGTTTTAAATCAGGTGTGTCCCTTCAGAGGTTCTGGACTAACTCCCTTTGGCTATGCTCGCTAAGGCTGATGGGAGTTGTAGTCAAAATAGTTGGAGAAGTATATAAGTGCTAAATATATATGAGATAATAAGCAAAAACCAAACTGTGTATAGTTCTTAGGTTCTGTAGCAGAAGGATGGAGGTTAGGGTCTAGTCTGGGAAGAAGAGAAGGTTTCTCTCACCTGCTTCTTTCCTCCCCTTTCGAAAGCGTTTAGAGGTGAAGTTTTTCTTCTACTGACGTAGCATCACTTCTCTATCTCCCCACTTCCTGCCTTACAGAAAAGACTGTGGGCAGGGCTGAAGTGTGATGTGGATTTCATGGTCTTATGCATGCGGTCACTTCAAAGAAAAAGTGTACTAAGCTTTTCCAATTCAACCTCAATCTCCTCTGTCTTGCTTACCATTCTGAACAATTTTGTTAATATAACTTGTGTGTGTAGGTGATTGTTTCCTAGCACACTGAATCTAGACATGAAACTAAGTCACCTAACTGTAGATAATTGGGGAATCTATCAAGCGATACATTTGCTTGTGTGCAATGGCTGGTTGCGAGCCAGCTTTCTCATAAAGAGCCTAAAGCAATACCATTTCTCACTTATCAAATGACGTGCGTGACTAGTGATATATCACTGAGTAACTTGATCTGAAACCGCCCCACCCACCCACCCACCCAAACATCCATTTCAGAAGGGAACACTTGGGTAAGTCCTGCATAATACTATAGGTCATATTTTCCCCACCGTTCTAGTATAGTCTATATTTGTACACCTGCTGAAGCATGTCTTAAGATGGCCAGCCTCTCAGGGTCATGAAATCTCTTACAGACCTTGTATTTCCATTTCTTCTATTTATTTTGTGGTGTTCTCCCTCCAGTTGGTTGAGAGGGGTTAGCTGAATACCATGCGTCCTTCATGATTGATTGGTCATGTTTCAGGTTTCCCTTCCATGGTTTGACCACCTGTGCTGATACCGCTTGCAGACAGTGTTGGCTGAGAAGTTACTGCTTTGCGAATGAGGGAGAGCACAGCACAGCAGTCATCATAGCTGTGGGATTTCAATGAAAACTTTCAGCAATCTTACAAAACAATTTCAGGTGTCTCTTGTGAGGGGCCCAAGCTAGTTAAAAATTTCTACCAGGTTTTTAAGTCTGGGAATGGGTAGGGGTGTATTTATAGGGTGCTTTCCAAAGAGTTTCCAAAGAGTTCTAGATGAAAAGTTTCTGTGTCAGAGCCTTGATTTGCTAGGAGTCCTGGCAAAGTCCAATACCATAATTTTATTCCAAACATTAATTGTATTATTTTTTCATTTCTATACTGTCCCACAGCCAAAGCTCTCTGGGTGGTTAGCTTGGCCCCTCTCCCCAAATCTTATAGTTGATAAGGAGGTGGCCATGGAAGGAGGCCTTTAAGCCTGCAATTTGCTTAGTATATGCAAATAAAGAGGTCTGAGGCAGTCACAGTTTGAGACTGAAAAGGATGCAGGCTGAGAAGCAAAGAATCTGGGCCCTGGGAACATACCTATGGATACCTAGATATCCAAAATCCCTGGAATCTGATGTTTTCACATTTTAATGGTGGTCCTATTTTATGGCCTGGAGTTTGTGCTGCTGCTGTGTGTGACCTCTAGTTTCTCCCAGGATCGATCCTGGCTTAAATGCAAGGCTACCGGAAGGCTTCGTTTCATTATTTGCAAGGCTCTCTGGGCTCTAGATTCAGCATCAGCATCTTAGATTTTATATATCTATACCTGAGAGCAACTTTGCAAATACCCTGGACAAGTTTTGTGAATACCCTGGACAGACAGAAAGACAAGCAAGTGGGTCTTGGATCAAAGCAAACCAGCACTTCCCCTAGAAGCAAACCTGACAAAGCCAAGGCTGTCATACCTGGGCACATGTTGAAAAGACACAACCCCCTGGAAACGACAATCATGCTAGGGAAAGTCATAAGCATGGGAAGAAAAGGAAGTCCAAATTTGACCCTTTAAAGGAAGTCACAGCCTTGAACTTAGATCAGCCAAGCAGGCATGGCATGGCTAGGATATTCTGGAGGGTTTTCATTCATAAGCTCACCATAAGTCGGAGTCGACTTGATGGCACATAATAACATACCTGGCAGCCACTGTAGCGTAATGGTTAGCATGTTGGACTGGGACTTGGGAGGTCCAGATTCTAGTCCCCACTCAGCCATGAAGCCCAGCAGGTGACTTTGCGTAATTCACGGACTTCAGCCTAACCTACTTCACGCAGTTGTTGCAGAGATAAAATAGATTATGTAAACCACCTTGGGTTCCTTGCAGGAAAAAGGTTGATATAATTAGTATGATTGTAAATATTTTAACATTCTAGCTGTCATTGTAGGGTTTTTTTTAGAGTATGGGTCATGGACTAGTAAAATGCCATTGAAAGTGGAGGCTGCTAAATTACCAAGGGCCAGAGGTATGACTTTAGCATCCTGCATAAAAATGTTGTGGATTATGCAAAACAACCAAACAATATTCTTTTTGTGTGACCTATACAGATCTTTGTGATACAGAAAGTACCTCTTCTGGGTGCAGGAATGGGTTTAATTTAAGTTCAGAGTGTACACTGATTAGAGAGAAATGATGTGAGAGTTCTGTGACATTTAAGGACTAACACAGATTGTGACAAGCTTTTTCAGGTGAAGCCCTTATTGCTGCAGGTCTGGGATTTTGCACTTAGAGGGAAAGAGGGTGGCTCGTGTTCTGCTTACAAGGAACACCTGTGGGCATCTCTGAAAGTCCAACTGCGCCACACAATCAAGGGGCCTTTTGCTTCACAGTGACTGCTTTGCCCTTGCGTAACAAGACCTCCCCACTTTTTGGCATCTGAGGAACATAATCGAAGCAGAAGGGGCCGCCCAGGTAGGGAGCACAGATCAAGTGGTATTGGAAATCCAGGCGCCCATGGTCTAAGTAGCAGACTTCATTATGTAGCTTCCCAGCCTCAAGAGTCTTCTCACAGAGCCCCAGACTGTCGTCGTCATATTTGTTGTCTTCATCCCAGACCTGGATTTGGAGCTTGCTGTTTTCCCCAAGTATCTGGATGTGTCCCAGATCCAAATGGATGTTCCATACTGGGTTGTCATTGTTCCACACAGTGGGCGTGCGAATCTCCCTCCCTTGGTAGAACACCATGACGTAGGCATCTGTCCGTGAGAAGGAATCTCCCCACAGGCCATGAGCCCGCTGGATCTTCACAGTCAGCTTGCCCAGGCCCCGTTTTCGTGAGCAGCACATGGAGCTGGTGGTGCCGTCACTGGGACACACGCAGGAACAGGGGTCCCGAACACTGCGCTGTGTTCCCGGTGGGCAAGGCTGGGTGCAGTTCCGCCAGAGGGCTCTTTCTGTCACGTACTCTCTCACGGCCTGCTGCAAGCCCTCCCTCCTAGGGTTCCCCTCGGGCACCAAGGTATGAATGGGGTCCAGCGAGTAGGAAAGCAGGCCGGGCACAGATATAACACCTTCCAACCACTCACTGAAGGTCTCAGGGTTGTGATTGTCGGGAAAAAGCAGGTCAATGTGACTAGTCCCACCCACCACCTCTGTGTGCCTCTCTCTGTACACCTGGTGGAAGCTGCCCTGGAAAGTCTGTTTCTTTTTCAGCTCTTCGCACGTCTTGTAGGCCGCATCCATTTTCACTGCGCCTCCAATACTGGCAGCTGCCTCAATCCTCAGGCAGTCTTTGACCTCATCGGCGGTTACCCCATTCAGCACCAACTCACACTCTCGCACGGCCGTCACGTCCCTTATGCGCCCGCCCAAGTGAAGCCGCGTGATGAAATGTGTCCCATAGGTGGCAATGAGCTGGCGATATTCCAGCTGGGTCGCATGGTGGTACTTCCCGGGGAGATTGTGTAGGGCAAGCTTGAAGTGCTTGCTGAGCTGCTGGTGGTGGTCAGTGCGGAAGCTGCGGCAAACAAGCAAGGAGCGCACATTAACCCAAGGAGAGTGTAACCCTTCACAATCCCTTTTTTGGAGTTACCAGGGCACGATGCGTAAGAAGATCTCGCAGAATTGGACAGAAGTTCCACCAAGTCCAGCATTCTGACCTTGATGTTGAATAACTGGATATCTCTGGAAAGCTCACAGACAGAGCTTGATGGAGAGGCCCACCAGGAGTTAGGACGCATCACTCTGTGAGCTTCCTCCGTTTTTTAAAAAAGGCCTTTATGCTAGTGGCCAGTCACAAGGAGCACCGTGGGGCCTTGCTCCAGTAAGATTCCCCCACCAAATTTTTGTTTTCAACCATGACTTATACTGTGGAAAGGGTTCTTGGCAGATATTGTTTTTAATATTGTTTTATACTGGGTTTTATTATTTAAGGTATCACTGCTTTACTAGCAAGATGCCTTGGAAAGATTTTATTCTGTAAAGAGGGATATAAATAACTGTAATAAAGAAATACACACCAAAATTGGAGGTATTGGACTGGGACTGGGAAAACCTGGGTTTAAGGCCCCACTCTGCCAGAAGCTCGCTGGGTGACTTTGGGCCAGTCAAGCACTTTCAGCCTAATCTACCCCACAAGGTTGTTGTGAGGGTAAAATAGTGACCATGAAGTCCACCTTGGGCTCCTTGGAAGAAATGGCAGGATATCAATGCAATAAATGAAACCAAAGATGAATTACAAGATTCTAGATGTTTCCATCGCTTATGAAGAAATTACTGATTTTTCCATTAAGTCCACTTGAAACCTCAACCTAACCTCAGTCTGACTCAGGGAGGCCCATCCAATTGAACCACGAAGTCCCTTCACCACCACCTTCCTTACCTGTAGTATGTGCAGGATACTTCATGTCTAGCGAAACTGTACTTGTCCTGTGAGGCTTTGTCCATGCTGAAGTCAGCTGTCTTGGAGTGGGATGCTGCCAAAGCCACTTGGATATTTGTCTGCGGCTTCACCTGTATATCCAGCCCGAGCTTCCAGTCATTCTGCACATCGGATCCGGCAGCGCTGACCACCCCAAAGCCATTGTTCTGCAGTGATGTGTGCACCTTCTGCTGGCACATGGTTTTGACCTCCCAGTCCACGGCAGCCAGCGGTAGCCTCTGGAGCGGCTTGTCCGGCAGCAGCTGATTCTGGCATAAGGTACAAGTCCCGTCTGGCTTCTGCCACTGATTCATATCCAGCACCTTGCCCCCTCTTTTTTCCAGTGTGGTGATGTCAATGCCCTCGCCAGCCAAGCTGTGGCCTGGCACGAAGTCCTTGTGCTCTTCGCATTCTTCAGCAGTGGCCACCTGGCATTGTGGGGAGACACTGGGGGGGGGGGGGGGGGGGGGGGAGAGGCCGGAGAGGGGCGGAGCGGGGGCCCACACCGGGCATGGCTGATCCTGCACGAGAGAGAGTATGGCAAGGTGTGAACATACCCATTGCGTGGACACGTCACACATTGTCTGGGGAGCAACGCATGGAGAAAGTGCTTTGAGAGAGCACCGCATGCAGTGATCACTACTTTATGGCATTTTACTGGCAAGAGATGTGGCTAGTGATGGCCACAGTTTTAAGAGGGGATTACAGAAATCCATGGTTTGCCAAAGCTGGCCACCTCTCTGCAGGCTAGATAAGGGGAAGCAGAAGGGGAACTGGGCAACAATGCTTGTGCTTCCAGCCTCCCAGAGCAATCGAACGGATTTCTGTTGACCCAGAACGCTGGTCTGGACAGCAGCACAAGCCTCGTGGGGTCTTAAAGGCAAGTGCTCGACTACGGCCTCTGGGCCTCCCTACCAGCACCTGCTCCCCTTTAACTAGCCCAATACACCTGGAGGGCACCAGGTTATGGGGAGGCTGCTCTTGCCTCCCTTTGGAACCTTTGGGTTGATGTTCGGCCACATTAAGGTAGGCAGCAAAACACAGCAGGAGAGCAAAATGCTTGGTTTCATTTCTGAATCTTCACTTATTTATTCATTTATTTTATTTCCCTACCGCTCCACAGTCGAAGCTCACTGGGCTGGTGGCGCAGTCCATAACAAGAGATGATAAAAATACAATTGAAATATCATAAAATCAGAAAAAATAAAAGTTTTAAACAGCTGAAAACAGACAATGGCAAGGAACAATACTAATAGCATGTGCTTTGGAAACACCGGTTCAGTGTTTCTTTCTAGCTTGGTGTGCTCCTCATCTCCACCCTGACGAGGGGCTAGGAAAGCTCAGCCTGAATGTGTCTGTCTGCCTTTGGTGCCAGATGCTGGGCGGGCAGGCGGGGGGTCGGGGGGACGCATGGTCCAGTGGCAAAGTGTTGGAGAATGACTGTGTGTGCTATTCAGTGCATGCTTGTGCCTGCCCTAAAGTGGCCACTGCCCTGGGGGCACTGAAGGAAGATTCACTTGTTAGCCTGGTACAAGTGTTGGAAGGGACATTATTTTGACCCGTGCCTCGGGGCCTGCCCTGATATTCTCCACGCGATTTGTGCTGTGGTCACGCCTGGAAAGAATCCCTGGCCTCGGGTTTCTACACATCTGCAGCCAGAAGCGTTGATGTTGGGGCCAACAGTGGGGACAGGGAAGGAGGGGGACTGTTCTGAAGCAGGCCGCTTACTATCTCTGCAGCGGTATTCTTTTAAAATCTGCAGTTGGGTAGATTGATGCCTGCACACGTTTCCTTTTACCTTCACAAGTAAGATGCTCTTTTGTTAAGGAAAGCTGAAAAGGCTGAAAAAGTTCCCACTTTCATTTTTTAAACAATATGCAATACAGTCCAGCTTGTCCTCCAAGCATTTCTGGTTCAAAGAAACAGAAAACCTTTGATGAAGAGAAACACACAGAGAGGGACTGCCTGCCAGGCAAAGTGTTTGGGCAGAGCTTCCTAGGGGGCGCTTTTCAGTTTTCCAGGCCATCCTCTCCCTTTAAAACCAATTTTACAAACTGGAAGCGGTGGCCATTTACGCATATCCCAAACAGGTCTCATATCTGCATAAAGCTTCCATGTGCTAATTTATAAGCATAGTCGCAAGGTCACAGAGCATGACTACAGTGTAAGTAGAAATGCAATATATTTCCTTGTGGCGGGTAAGCCTGCAGCCAGCTGACTTGTGGGCCTGCATGCTTAGCCTGCCCCTCGGCCGCCGACTGAAGGTAGCCGCAAAAGGCTTCTGTCGTGTTCCCTTCTGCTGTTGCACCGAGAGCTTTCAATGGGCAGCCCTTTACACCAGAAGTAATACCACAGATTGGCCCATTAAGGCTGGATCCCCAAATCTTTCCGTCGCAGTGCTGAATCTTGGGGAGGCCTCTGCTGCCCTCGCCCCCCCCCCCCAGATTGCTGTCAGTGGGCATTTGCTGAAACAAACGTACAGAGACCCTGAAGGTCTGGGTGGCATCAGACCCCCTGCCTGGCTGGCTTTTGCTGGCATGTGTTTCAGCTCCTGCTGCCTCCCCTGTCTTTCTGCCCAAGGTTTTTTCTCTAAACTCATATACCTTCCTTTCCCCTGCTCATTTATCCCTTTTTACAAATATAGCCATAGGAGATGAGGTCTTTTGAAGACACATTTTAAAGCATGGGCAAATTAGCACATGCAAATCCCCCCTTTTGTTCTGCAGGCCTGAGGCCTAGAGCAGAAGGCCTAGAAGGCCTGAGGCCTAGATCTCTCTGGCACCTCACACTTCCCCAGTTTAAACAGAGGTGTCTTCAAATAAAGAACCACCCCCAGAGACCCTTTCATATGGCGGCCCATGCTTTGTAACGTCCGGCACATAACCAGCCTATGGAGACACTTCTGCTGCATGAAATGGGCCTAAAACGGAGTTTCCCACAGATAGCGGTATCAGCTTTCCTCTGCCAGTGCGTCGGGATTGGAAAACTCTTCTCTGCCTCTTCCTCCTCATGGCCTTCATTACCCAAAGGTGCTGATTAAACCCCAGTGCAAAAGAAAACATTGCACATCATACTCTGAAGTGGCATCCAGCAGAGAATTCTGTACCCTGAAACATTTCACTGAGGGAAGTTAGGATGTGCCCACAACACTCCCGTCCGGGTGCTAAAGATGACTTCTTGCCGTATCCCCTCCACTGGCGTGCACCGAATGTCTTCACCACTACTTGCGCATCCAGTTACTTTTTACTAGACGTGCCCTATACTACTTTAAAAACCAAGAGGGGCAGGGGTTGGTGTTTTGATTAGAGACAGACTGTTGTTAAGTGTGTGTGGGGGGGGGGGCAGGGAGAAGTCTGTGTATTCTATCGCAATTTAACAACTTTTTAAAAATGCTACACAGAGCTGCAGCGTGCACATAATGGCAGGCTGTGCCTTGAGTGTTCTTGTGCATTCATCCAGCGGCCTTCTTCCAAAGATTTACCTTCTATGGGTCAAGGGAGGGAGAGATGCACCCTGAAGCATGAGGGCTTTAAGCAGGTCAGTTTTGGACAAAGCATCCTGCTCCCCTCCTGGTCAAATAGTCACAGTCATTTACAAGGCTCAGGAAACAGAAGTAGTTCAAATACATGCAGAATCTTACCTATGCTTTAAAACCAAAGCCAGCTTCCAGTCCTTCAGGTTGCTTGAAAGTGTTGGGAAGATGCCTGTTGAGATCCAACGAGAGATGAGCAGAATTTCCAGATGTGACTTGAGTTAAAAACTTGCATGGTCCCCCTTCACCCCATTTCCAGATCAGATAGAATGATTCACACCACGGAATCCAGTTTTATTCACATCTTTCTTCCACCCCAATTTGCAAGGAACCCAAAGCAGCGATCCTTTAAATCCCCCAGAAACGACATACCTCAGGCAGCATGTGGAGGGGTGCAAACTGCCAAGCTGTGGATACTGCTAGTCAGAAAGGATGGGTATGAGTTTTTGTGTGCACGCATCTGAATCTGTTTTCCAGGAACAGGATGTTGCAGTTTAGAAGGGGGAAAAGAAACTAAAGCTCAAATGTGACACCACCATAGATGAGCAGGGGTTTGCGAAGTGGACAGAGAGTGTGATTCTGAGGTTTGTGCTCATCATAGGTTCATCAGGAGAGTTTGAATATATGTTGTGCAACAACACAGCACAACTGCAGTAAAGCCTCAGCAATTCGAACCTCTGCAGATATTTTGCTCATTTGCTTCATTTTTAAAGTCCCACCTTTCTTTCAAGGGTCGGCGCATGCTCCTCTGCATTGTACGTCCTCAGAATGCCCCTGTGAAGTAGGGACATCCGAGAGAGGATGCATTTGGTCCCCCAGTGAGAGCAGTAGAGTTGGAAGGGGCCGTGCAGGCGGTTGGGTCTAACTCCCTGCTTTTGAGGGACACCACCTGACACCATCCCACTCAGATGGCTGTCCAGTTTCTTTTTGAATGTCTCTAGTGTGGAAGAGCCCACCACCTCTCTAAGCAGCTGGTTCCACTGCTGTATAGCTCTGACAGGGAGGAGCCTTTTCCTGATATTTAGCCTGAACCTGGGTTGTTGCAACTTGACTTAATTATTCCATGTCATACACTCTGGTATGAGCAAGAAGAGCTCTTGCTCTTCCTCTTTGTGACAGCCCTTCAGGTGCTTATAGTGATGTCATGTCCCCCTCAATCTTCTCTTCCCAAGGCTGAATATACCCAGTTCTCCTTCTCTCCTCCCAGGGCAATGTTTCCAAAACCTGGATCCTTTTTGTTGTCTTTCCCTGAACCCTTTCTAAAATTTTTGCATCTTTCTTAAATCTTGGTGCCCAGAACTGGACACAGTATTCCAAATGAGGTCTGACTAGTGAGGAGTATAGGGGAGCTACTATTTGGAAGTGATACTTCTATTAATGCACTCCAAAATAGCATTTGTCCTTTTTGCAGCTACATCACATTGTTGGCTCATATTTAGCCTGAAGTTCACGTAGCTGCAAGGCCTCTGAGCCACATATTCCCCATCTTGTATCGATGCATCTGGTTCTCTTAAATCAGCAGAGGAATTGGCATTTGTCCCGACTGAATCTCATTCTCTTGCTTTCTGCCCAGCATTCAAGCTTATCCAGAACATCCTGGATCTTCATTCTGTCTTTCAGGGTGTTCACTATTCCTCCCAGTGTTGTATCATCTGCAGATCTGATGATCAGTCCCTGTACCTCCTCATCTGGATCATTAAGAGATGTTGAAGAGCACTCCACTAGTTACCTTACTCCAGTTTGAGGTGCTGTTGAGGAGCACTCTTTGTGTCCAATTTAGTAGCCAGGTTTGGATCCACCTAATAGTTGAGTGTAGAGGCAGAAGCCATGGCTGCTTCTTTCATTGCTCAATAATACCATTAAAATAATAATGTTATTTCATTTTGTTGCTTTGTTTTGTGATTTACTGTTTATTGTTTTATACATTATTACTGTTTAATTCATTTATTTGAAGTTGTTGTTTTAAATTGTTCTTTTAAAGCACTGTAAGCCGTCCTGAGATATTTATATAACAGGACAGCATGAAAGACGGAAGGAAGGAAAGGCAAACTTGGCTGACAAACCACAACACATGATTGCAAGATTGGGCCAAATGGATGGGGTGGGATCATTAAAATCAGGGAAAGGTTTAAGAATCTCAGATTGGTTGCATATATGATCAACTCACAAAAGGACCAAACAGGCACAGCTACTACTATGTCTTTGGATGTGTAGGCCTTTGAAAAAATGCACTGGAAATTTATTTTTGCCACATTGAGGAGTGTTGGGCTTCCTCCAGATCTTCAGAGCCGAGTTAAAATTACACACGAAACCACAAACATGTTAAAACTTTTTTTCTTTTTTTGGTGATTTTCCCACTGATGTGATATCAGTATGATATGAACTGGCAGGAGTGGAGAAATGAGCTATGCGAAGCCCAGAGAAGCCACTGAATACAGAAGTGGTTGTCTGGTCACCCAGTTTGCGAGAAGATGAGGTGAGACAAGACAAAGAAAACATGCCTGAAGTGTCTGATCCAAGACAGCTTTCCGGCTAGATGTTTAGCAGCGTGTGCCCACAAGGTTTCCGCCTCACCTAAATTGGCTGAATGTGTCTGCTTTGCCTCAGCAGATTTGCTACATGGACCCTGGAAGCTGAGAACAGCCTCCAAGCCCCCACCATTGGTAGCCATGATGGTGTGCCCCTGAGACTTCTGGGAAAAGAGGGGGAAAGCAGGGATCCAATGCCTGCAGCCAAACCACTGACTTGCCATTGCAAAGCAACATTGCATTTCAGCACTGCACTGACGGGAGAAGCCAAAATTGCTAAGATACCCCAGTCTGGGCCTAGCAACCGCTGTCTCTGTGGCTCCCCACATGGCCTACCTTTGCCTTCTTGCTAATTCTGCATAAAACATTAGCAAGTTGCACCTCTGGAAGGATTGCAGAGTTTCGAAGCAGCTGAAGTGAGTTACGAAGGGACAAGAAAGGTACAGATCTCCTGAGTTGGGGTTCTGTTTCTCATAGCCTGATGTACATGACCCATGAGACCCGAAGTACATTGATTTTCTTAAAAACTCACACAAAACCCCCAAGGCTTTTATTTCAAGCTGTTTACATAAACCAGGGCAACATGAGACAGATTAATAGAAGTTCTAGAAGAGATAGAGGGGGTTGCTTTTATTTCCTTCTCCCCCTTCGCCACTGGTTTCTCAATTCAGTCTTGTTCCTCACCCAGAAAACTGCACAGTGTGATATTATAAACCAACAGAGATACACACGTCATACTGCAGGAGTGCACACACACAACAAATATAACCCCCGCCCCATTGTTGCCCGGGTTTGGGTGTCCATGTTCCAACAGTCCCTCCAGGCACATCTCTCTTTCGTCTGATACTGCGGAAATGGGGGGGGGGGCGAGGGGAGGTGGGGCTGCGAAGCAACATGGCCTGGTCTGCACCTGCGCGAAGTGCCGGAAGTCGCACGCCAGGGAAGAGGGGCAGCGCCTAAGAGGGCTCCGTGAGCGCCTCGGTCAGGCAGTTGGAGGGGGAGGCCTTGTCCGTCTCTGTCCTGTCGTCAGGGGCATGGGGGTGAATGTGGGCAGAGAGCAGCGGCTCGTAGGTGGCTATGGCAGCCGTCACGACGGGGTCCTCGGAGCGCCTGTTCTCGAGGCCCACATGGGTCTTGAGGTGCTTGCGCAGGTCCGAGGCACCCAGGAAGGCCTTGGAGCAGTGGGGGCAGGCGTGGGGGCGGACGCCCGAGTGGATGCGCTCGTGCTTGCGCAGGCCGGCCCGGTCCGAGAAGCCCTTGCCGCACTCGGGGCAGGGAAAGGGGCGCAGGCCAGGGTGGTGCAGCCGCTCATGGCGGCGCAGCTCCTGGGTGGAGGGAAAGGCCTCGCCGCACTCCCCGCAGGCGGGCACCACCGTGGCCACGACGATGGCCGCGGGGTCTCCAGGGGGTGGCTCGTGGCCGCCGACCAGCAGGGCCTTGTCCTCATGGTTCTCGCCACTGTGGGTGCGCTCGTGCTTCCGCAGGCTGGAGGACACCACAAAGGCCTTGCCACAGCGGCCACACTTGAAGGGCCGCTCGCCGGAGTGCACCCGGTAGTGCTTGGTGAGGCTGGCCCGCTCGGCAAAGCTCTTGCCACACTCCCCGCACTGGTGGGGGCGCTGCCCCGAGTGCACCAGCAGGTGGCGCTTGAGGTCCCAGGAGGCCACGAAGCTCTTGTCGCACTGTGCGCACTTGTGGGGCCGCTCGCCTGTGTGGATGCGCTGGTGCATGGCCAGGTCGGCCGGCTGGCGGAAGGCCTTGCCACACTTGTCGCAGGCATAGGGCTTCAGGCCCTGGTGGGCCCGCTGGTGCCGGCGGAAGCTGGAGGGGTCGCTGAACATGCGCCCGCACTGTGGGCAGAGGAAGGGCTTCTCCCCGGAGTGGGTGCGCTGGTGGCTCTGGAAGGAGGAGAGCTGGGTGAAGCCCTTGCCGCACAGGCTGCAGCGGTAGGGCTTGTGGGCCGCGTGGATGCGCTGGTGGCAAGCCAGCGACGAGGAGCGGGAGAAGGCCTTGCCGCAGTCCTGGCAGAGGAAGGGCCGCTCGCCCGTGTGCGAGCGCTCGTGGTTCTTGAGGTCCTTCAGCTCGGCGTAGGTCTTGCGGCACACTTCGCACTGGTAGGGCCGCAGGCCGGCATGGGTGCGGCGGTGCTTGCGGAAGACCGAGGGGTCGGCAAAGCGCTTGCCGCACTCGCCGCAGGCGTAGGGCTTCTCGCCCGTGTGGGAGCGCTGGTGGATCTTCAGCTTGGAGAGGGTGCCGTAGCCCTTGTGGCAGTGCTGGCAGCGGAAGGGCAGGTCCCCCGTGTGCCGGGCCATGTGGACCCGCAGGCAGACGGGCTGCATGAAGGCCTTGCCGCACTCGTGGCACACGAAGGGCTTCTCGCCGCTGTGGCTGCGGCCGTGGTTGCGCAGCTCGGGCGCCGTCTTGTAGGCCTTGCTGCAGAGCTGGCACTGGTGTGGCCGCTCGGTCTGGTGGCTGAGCTGGTGCTTGCGCAGCTGGCCACGGTCAGGGAACTCCTTCCTGCAGCTGGAGCAAGCAAATTTACCCTCCGTGCTCCCCCCGGCGCTGGCCGCATGGGACTTCAGATGCCGCAACACTCGCGGCACACTCGGGAACGTTTTGTTGCAGGTCAGGCATTTATAGCGCCGTCCGGACTGAACGTAGCCAGCCTCCTCCTCTTCTTCCTCCTCCTCCTCTTCTTCCTCCTCCTCTTCCAGCTTCACTTCCACGCCTGCCTCTTCCTCCTCTGTCTCAGCCATTTTCGGGGAGGAGACTGTCTGAAATGGAGTCAGGAAAAACGGTTCAGGGTGGGCTCACTGTGTGAACCACATTGTACAGCCCTCAGAGCACTGAACTTAATGCTGGAAGAAACCTCCCTGCAGCTCATGTGCTGCATGATACTGGGCCCACCACCTTTCTCAGCCAAACCCATCTCACAGGGTTGTTGTGAGGATAAAATGGCCAGGGTGTCAGGGGAGAATCTTGGACAGCACCCTGTCTGTGCTTCTAAGAGGAAAGCACAGTCATGCTCTATGAATGAATTCAATGTTACATCGGGCTACAATTCTCAGCACCCTCCAACAGCAGCCTGGGGAATGCTGGGAATTGTAGTCCAACACATCTGGAGGGCTTCAACTTGGACAAGGCTGATTCAAATGGAAATTCATGATTATTGAACTGTATTATTTTAACTAGGCATTTTAGTGCTATTTAAAAGATTGATTTTAAAAATTAAGGGGCAATTTTTAAAAAACTGACACCCACTGTAAAGGGTATGAGGTAAGGTAGGTTAAGTGGAAAATTACATCTGTGCATCCTTTCTCTTCTCTAGCAAAAGAGGTCTAGCAACTTGCTAGAGTTGGTTTCTCCCTTATTTAGCCCCCATTTGTGCTTGTCTGAGCCTCTCCAGGCCTGTCAGTGCTGAGCTAAAAGAAAGAGTGTCTAAACTCCAGTGCTTGCTCCAGTCTTTCTTTCTAGACTCAAGGGGGTCCATGTTCTTTAAAGGCAAGTGTAAGATATGCAGAACCACATACTTTGAGGGGTGGGAAGTGGGGGCAGATCTAGAAGAAGAACACCCAAGTGGACAGGATGGCTTCTCTGGCAGCCATCTTTGGGATGATCGGAAGACAACACACCTGGATGGTGCCAGATTGGGGTACCTGATGTCAGTGACAGCCATTCCCTGCAATCCTAGTCAAGCTGTTGGCATTGAAGTGATCCCTAAGGGATTCAAGAGGCTTTCCATGAAACCAAGAGAGAAGAGTGTGTCTCTTTGACAAAGCGGAAGACTTTGGGAGCAAAGGAAATGCTCTTCATATAAAAGAGACTCTGGCCTACAGGCAGGTTGTAAGGAATGCAGTGCTAAAAAGAATTTAAATTCTCCCTGGCTTCCAAAGAGCCATTGCAAAATGGCTGTCTGTAGGAGGAAGGGCCATTTCCAGCCACCAGGAGAAAAGAGAAAACAAAACAAAACAAAACAAAAGGAGCTTGTATAGAAGAGTTTGAAATCCAGAAGGAAGGGGTAAGATGGAGGAGGGGAGTTTCCCTGCTTAACAAGAACAGATTGGGAAGGAACTTTGCTTGCTCCCATGAGGCCTGGATGATGCTCTTTGCAAGATGGCTGGACTTGGAATACAGAGGAGAGGGAGGGAATGGGAGAAGGACAGAAGAGAAGAGAGCATCTTAAAATGCAAATATTGCTAGATCTACCAGACAAGAAGACAATTTTGGCGGAAGAGAAAGTAAATTAATCTATAATTCTCCTTCTTGTGGAGATCTGGACATTTGCAAGGGAGAAACAATTTTGCTTGGTTTCATACAGGCAGAGAGCCAGGGATGTAAAATGGCTGGCTTTAAGACCAAGAAAGAGAAGACAGCTGAAAGTCATGGAATTTGCACAGCAGGGGTGGGGGAGTCAGAGAGAGATTAAAAAAAAAAAAAAAAGCCAAGCTGCATAATAAAGGCAGCATGGAAGAGAATGTTTTCCTCAGGTTTAATCTGAGCTAAGGTTCAGTCTCCAGGACCCATTTCTAGATCTGGAACACAGAAGAGCCTCTGAGCACATCTAGAGTGCCTGATTCCTCCTGTAGGATCAAAGCCAACCAGACGTTATAGCCTACCCTATCAAACGAGGGCAGAAAAGCCTCCTTTTGGAAAAATCCAGCTTAGCACTTACACTATGGCCAAACCACAAAGAGACAGATTTGACGTGGCTTGGCAGCAATCTTGGCTGGATCAAGGAAAAGATCTAGACAATAGTCAGTTCACAGATTTAGGGGAGGGAGAAGGAATTGCAGAATTTGTAGCTCATCCTGCTTGTACTGGGATGTTGTAGACACATCCGATTGCCCCTATTTATCGGATACCGTTCCTATTTGGGGGAACCTGCCTCTTATTAAACACTTGGGTTGGAGAATTCTCCATGCACGGTGAGATTAAGCAGTCTATTAAAAAGCGTGGTGCCATGCAGTGAGTCCGCTTAACATATAGGGCACAGAAAAGATGCTTTGGCTTGGACCTAAGATGAGCAGTATTTTCGTCTCTGAAATGCATAAAGGAAGGGGTCTATTTAGAATCGAGACCTGCCTTCTTGGAAAAGTAAAGACATTCGAGAAGTGCTTGTGTAGCTTGCGTGGCAGGTAGGTCTGTGGCAAAACTCAGCCCCATTTGGAGAACAGAACCGCAATACACGGCATGTAAAGGCATTCTGAGCTTGTTTGCTGAATGAATTGGAAGGACAAAGGGAACAGGCATGTATCGTGGATGAGACAGCGTTTTAGGGACCAAATGTACAGGGACCAATTACAATTTCCAGGGAGGTAACCGCGTTAATGCATGGCAGCAAATCCAAGGAAGGGTCTTGCGGCAACTGAAAGGCTAACACATTTACTACGGTATATATTCGCGGAATAGACAGCTGATGCACCACGTGAAGTGGACCCTAGTAAGTGAAAGTTTATATACCGTGTGTTGAATCTTTTAAAGTTCCACTTGGTTGCCATTCCTAAGAGAAGCCAGCCAAAGAAATGTGATTCTCCGTAGCTGCATAACAGTCCCAAGAAACACAAAGGTTTGATCTGGCAAATGATCTCCCTGCAAAATGGCTGTCTCTAGGACCAGGAGACAAAAAGGAGAAAGAACAGCCCGCATCGCCTTGGCTCTTTTCCGCCCAGATTAAAGGAGCCCGCCGTCTGCTCTCCGCCAGAGGGACAAAGGCCCTCGGTGTCCCTCCGCGACGCGATTTAGCGGAGCTGCGCCTTGCATCCAGAGCAGAGCCGCATCTCCGGAGATGCCTCGCAAAATGGCTGTCTTTAGGACCAGGGGAGGTGGCCGCCGCGGCGAAAGAGGCATGCAAGGGTGCAGCGCGAGCTGTTGCATCGGGACCATTTTCTTAAGCAAGCAAGTTCAGAGAACGCATCATATCGCAACTCAGGATGGGCCAAAAGCAGCTTTCCCCCCTTACCTGTTCTCTCCTTTGTCTATTGGCTTTCCTCTTCCACTGCAGTGGCATGCGGACGAGCGCTAGGACCCCGGAGGAAGAAGAGGAAATGGAGACAGGGAGGAAAGGGGGGGGGGACCCGCCTCCACCCACAAGCAATTAACTGGGACTTTCAGGGATTTGGTGCATCTCATCGGCCAGTTCAGTTTTACTCTACAGTGAGAGGGAACTACTGCAGTTTATATCAAGGGTGGAGTCTTTGATGCCTGTTTCGTTAAAGGGAGGGGGCTGATTAAGGTGGGTGGAAGACCGATAGGAAGTGTGGCATGTATCGATTGAGGCAGGGAAGAGGTTTGGTGTTGCTCAAGGCGGAAGTGTTGCACGCCAACGAAAGGCAAAGAGTAAGGACGGGTGCAGAGACCGGAGGAAGTGTGGCAAGGCTGCAGGGAATGGATTGAGTGGTGCACTTGAATGGTGTGTGGCGCTTAGAGAACCCTTTGAGTAGCACTTTTTGAAAAAGCAACATCCAACAATTTTCAGCGTAAACTTGTTCTGGTTCCTGACTGCATCATACGGAAGATGGTTCCAGCTACACCGTGAGATTTGCGGCCATGTGATATGGACTTGGCTTGAGAGTATCGATTGACCTTTTTCTTTTGCCAATACCTCAAACCTCTTATACGGCTTTACACAATTCGTGTGCATGTTGCATTTTCACTACAACGAGTACTGGTAGATTTCCTGTGCATGGAGGGTATCTGGTAGGCGAGATTCCCCTGTCGAATTTCTGACTGGCATACAACCATTAAATTTATAATGGCTAATAGGGTGGGTTAGAAATCCAATAAATTTTTTAAAAAATATTGAGTTGTATATAATATTAGTGTTACTTGGAGTTGATCTTTTGGTATGAATGGGACTTACTTTAGTAGTGACAAATAACTTAAACTCCATAGATTTCAACAGGTTTGCTATCTAGTGGGATGAACATTGGTTAAAATCCAGTAGCAGGCAAAAATGTTGGCAAACCTAGAAACAGAAACGGCAGCTATTGCCTGGGCTTCCTGAAGATCTCTGAACCGAGATACAGAGGCAATGTAATCCCTCTTTCATTGGACGAGAGGCGCAGAGCTAAATAAGTGGTCCATGAAGAATTGCTGTGGGGAAGTATATTTCTGCAACACGCCGCAGAAGGCAGTCATAGAGACAAAAAAGAAAGTCACACGCCAATGAAATCTCTGACCGAAACCGCATGCTCCCATTGTCCATTATTCTCTACTCTATGGCAGACCCCCCGCCGTAGCAAGTCACTCCCTCCTATAAAAGATAGAAAACGGATGGAGGGAGCCACCCCTTCTACTGATAGCGCTTCCGGTCCGATGGAACTGCTCTTCCAAGTTAACCATCAATTACAAAACAAGAGGATTTTATTTCAAAGTAGTCGGAGACTAGAACGATGCCACTCTGAGCCTATGAAGAGGTACGGTTCTCTGGAACTCCATGTCAACTGTAAATCCGAGCAGCGTGTCACTCTCATCTTTTTCGAGAGGAATATCTCTACATGATGCCAAGTTTGAGGGGAACGCTTTGGACGTGGCACACCACTGGTCTCTCCAACCGTCCGACGACTGAAGAAACTTGCAGGAAGTGAAGCCTCATCTAGTTGGAGGGGGAAAGCTTTAAAGGGTGCACACTTCCTGTTTCCTAGCAACAAAAGGAAGTATTTGTTGTTGCCCTAGCCCCTGTGACTTCTTCAAATCCAAATCCTTGGATCTCAACGTAGAAGGTCTGGGGAGGAATCGACCCCTCCGTGAAAGATCCACCAGGGAGAAGTACGGGGCTCCTGAGGGGGTCAGTTTTCGCTCCTTGGGGTGCCCGTGGTGCCCCAAAAGGGGCTGGGCAGCAAGAGTTTCCTTCCCACGTTTTGTTTTCCCTCCTTGCCTTGACCAAATTCATCCTTTGCTCTTGGAGAAGAGGAGGATTGTGTGTGTGTGTGTTTTCCAGGAACCCGAGGCAGCGACGTGGGACCTGTCTTCTACCTCATGGCTGGATCTTGAGTGGACTTTGGAGTTCTTTTGCTCTTTCTCTACAACTGGAATCGCCCAGGAACTGGGACGGACGACTTGGTACCACAGATGTTAACTCAGAATCCTAATCTCGCGGTTTGCAACACTCTCCCTTTCATGAAATATGGTTGCTCATCACCGCCTCTCCCCACGACCTACTAGATCCAGGATCATTCTCTCTTTTCGATGCCTCAGCGGTCCTGGAGTACAGACTGTAGCTGATCACTACACATCCCTGGGCAGTTTGGGTGACGAATCTCCATAAAGTACAGCTTCTCTGCTGGAGGTTGAGGTTTGAACCCTTGTGAAAAGTTCTTTGATTTTGCTACCAAGGGACCTTCCATACTTGAAACTTTCAGAAGTTAGACTCTGAAATTGCTATGTGTATTTTTAAAGTTGGCATTGTGAAGTACTCCTGGAATCAAAGTGAGGCCCATTTTGAGGTCCAAATTCCAGGCTCTATACACTCAGGGTCCTTGTGTTCCTTTTAAAGTTCTTATTCTTTGACTGTTTCTTTCTTACCTCCTGAATGGAAGATGGGATTCTAAGGAATCTCCTGGGATCTGAAGATCTGTGCATTCCCTTTTTTCATGGAAAACACAGACTATATGTTTGATGACTTGAACTTTGCGAAACACACTCTTCCAGTTTAGAAACTCACTCCCCATCTTTGCTTCCCCATCATGTTTTTTAATAACACAAGTCAATATGCTTGCCTTCTGAAGTTTATTCCCTGTCTTTTTGGGAAGGAAACTTTTGCCGATTTCTCACATTAGAGAAGTTTTCTGTTCATCTGGGATGATCAGCTTGATTTGAGAGGTAAGAAAGTGATATCCTTTGCAACCATGCCCTATACCGTGACTTTTGTGCTAGCTAAACTTGTTTATACAGAAACCGAGTGTATCCCTTTGTGCAACCTGCAAAAAAGATGAAAGGTGTATTTCTAAGGCAGTTTTAGGGTAAAACATCTTCACATGGGGAAACAGAGACAAACTATTATTGTTGTAGAAAAAGCCCAACTCATTAGATCCATTATATTCCCAGTATTAAGGATAAAGTTCACAGGTTCTGTTTGTGCGAACATGTTACATTTCATTGTCTTCTGAGAAACACCAGACTCCTAGCCCCAGTTTGCATATTCCAAAATGGCTAAAGGGCCCTTCTCAAATGACAAAAATAGCTTTGGCTCTTTCCTGCTATTCTTTGCTGTTACTTGGGAAAGCCTTTTAAGGGCACAGTACTTTGTATATTTTGACAGAAAAAGTTCAATAGTTCCCGATATTCCCTAGCCAGCGCTGGTGCTTGGGGAACACTGGGAGTCGTAGGACTTTTTGTTTTGCTGCCTAAACATGCATAGGATTTTATCCTAACCAGTCTTCCTCAACTTGTAACAAGTTGTGTCCAATGACATCGCCTTCATCTCCACTCATTTGACCATGAAAAAGAACAATGGAAGTTGATGCTTTCCAGATTTGTTAGACGACAAGTCAGGGAAGGTGGCCCAAAATGTTGCTAAAAGAAACCTGTAATTGCATGCATGCACACCTTCCCTCCCAAAATCAGTTACCCCCTTGCACCCAGAGTTGGAGATCTGTTCTCAAATTCTTAGCCCAGCTTGGCTTTGTGGCACAAAACCCCACTTCCTGCCCAATCCAAAGTAACTTCCCAGAACTTTACACTTCCATATTTACATTCAGGTTAGGCAACATTAATTTCTTGTTGCATTTGTTCTCATGACGGCCCTGTGAGGTCAGTCATTCCATCGATGGGGAATAAGACAAACTAGCACTTTTATGTATTTATATATTTATTGTCCAGATTTTCACCCTATCTTTCCTAATTCATACCCTGTGAGACTAACCATATATAGACAATAAAAATATAAGAATGGCCTGGCTAGCTCAGAGCAAGGGCCACGTTGTTTAGCATTTTCATTCAAGTCTAACAAATGGTGTGAAGCCGAGGGCCTTTCCTTTCTTATTTGCCCACCACCTGGTATTCAAAGATATGTTACTTCTGCAGGTGGACACTCCTTTTAGCTGCCGTAGCTCACAGCTATGGATTGCCCTCTTGCTTATGAACATGGATACACGCAGTCCTTCCTTTTAACTTCCAGAATATCTAAGATTGTGCTTTGTAGTCATGAAGTGCATGTGATCCTCATGTATTAAAAACAGAAGAATACTGCCTCTGCAGCATCTTCTCAGCAGTGGCCAACCTGATGCTTCTAGGAAGCTCATAAGCAGGACAGAAAGGCAGGGGCTTCCTCTCTGCCCCCAGGCCCCTTCCCAGCCACCAGAGTTCAGTGGCATGCTGCCTCTCCATATGTGGCCTCCTTTGTTGGAATTAACATTAGGCTTCCAGAGGTGGCAGGTTGCTGAATTCTGCATGTGGCATTAATGCCTGTGAGTGGAAAACACCCTTGGCCTAGGCTCTCCAGATGCCTGTTCCAGGGAGTTGTAGGTGGAGAGGTCTGTTAGGAGGAGAGAGGTGGCCAGCGATCAAGCATCATTCACACGGGCCAGAAGCTGAAGCCTCCTCGGGGCAACACTGTCGTTTCATCCGTGGAAGCAAAAGGTAGCAGGGCAGCAAAAGACGCAGCACGGTGGCCATGCTGGGGAGGCTACAAACCTTGCGTTGCTGCCATAGGTGACCAAGGGTTCTAGGCAGGCTCCTGGGGGAGGGACTCTGCTTTTCCTCTGGTTTTTCACTGGGTGTCTGTGCTTTCTCTGTGAGGAGCATAGAAAGCAAGCAGACTAGCTGAGCAGGGGCAGCGCCCTTCCATCTCTTGACAGACTTGATAGAGTCTTGCCAAGAGGCAAGCAGGCATGCATTTCCATGCAGCCAAGGCAGGGGCCTTTCCTTTCTTTAGCAGCCCCCTAACCGCTTCATTTCAAAACAACATAAAAAAGCGGCCAGTGTTAGGCTAGTCCTTGTCTTATTTACAAGGCTGAGATACTATCTAACTTCCTTCCCTTGGAGAAAAGAAAGGCCGGAGCAGCAGCTTACAACGCACTAGCAGAACTGTGTGCTGATCAATGGGGTGCTAGCACTCATTCATGCCACCCTGTAAACCAATCCAAATCCGCACTAGTGGAGTGAGGCCAGTCAGCAGAGTTTGCAGGGCTTGTCCCTCTCCAGAAGCCCTGCTTTGGGCCAGTTTCCAGGGTTGTGCTTGTGTTTGTTTCCAGTGACACACGGTGCTCAGTGCTGGTGGACTGCCAGTCCCAGATACTAAGAAGGGCTGTCCCGTTGCTGGATAAGAAGGTTGCACAAATGAGGAACCTACACTCTTGTATTAATCCCTGCCATAGGCTTGGGTGTGTGTGTGTGTGTGTGTGTGTGCTCTCCATAGCTTTGGGCTAGTGGCAAAAATACACTGATGAACCGGTTGGCAGCATCCAATGTTTTGGGGGCAGAATTCTATTTGACAGGTTACCAGTGGGGCAGGCTTGCTCTAGGCAAGGACTGGAAGGCAGGAACTGAACAGCAGTCCTCCTCTTTTCTGGGTGGTCGCCGAGGGTTTCCACTCACGAATTTCTGCTTTGCTCTTGTGCTTTCGGCCGACCTCCCTCGTTCAGAGCCCAGCCCTTAACTGTCAGCTGGTGGGATGGGGTGGATGAGGGGAAGAAGACTGATGAAGCAAACTCCTGGCAGAAGCAGCCCCGGTTTCTGTCTGTCTTCTAGAGGCAACCACTGTGGATTTCTTCTCGGGGTCCAAAACCTGCTTCGCCATCCCTGGGGCTAATCCCCACAGTGTGAAAGCCCGGGTGGGTGTGACCAAGCTTCAGGACACCAGCTCCTCCCAAAATCTGGAAAGAGACTGATTCCAGGATGGAAAACGGATGATCTGAGTCAAAGTGCCGCTTGGTGTCCCCCGCTAGCCTGACCTGGCAGCAGTGGACATCAGCCACCCCCGAGATGTGCCGGCGGCTGGGCCCATGTGCCATGTTCATTTCCCACAATGTTCTTGAGTGACCTTACGTTGAGGCATCGGGGGAACTCAAAATGGCAGATAGAATTGGCCTCCTGGCCCTTCTTGGCGTTCCAGGCTGGGAGAGAAATGTTGAAAGGGTTGGCAAGTGTGCTGGGACATGGAGGTGCTTGGGTCACTGGGGCCCTTTCCCCCGGCCCTTTCCACCTTGCTGCCTTCAGTCTCTTGGGGGTTCAGGCTGGAGAAGGCTGCTGTGCGCCCCGCCACCTGTCATGTCAGGCCATTAGTGAACGCGGCAAGCCACCTTAGGCCGGGTCGGTTGGCCTAGCTCAGTACTGGCTACTCTGACTGTCAGCAGCTTTCCCAGGCCTCAGGCTAATGTCTTTCCTCAGCCGGTTCTTTATATAAAATAATAATGATGCGAAAGCACATGCAGACTGAGGCCGGGACTTGCTGCTATGTGCAAGCTGCGTGCTGTACCAGAGAGCTGTGCCCCCTCGGTATTAGCCAGTCTTTTTGGTGGGCCGTGCAAAGGGTGTGGGTCTGGATATTGGGCCACAGCAGCTGAGCATGCAGGGAGCGTGAGTTGTAAGTCTCAGGACCAAAGCTGGGAAGCATTTAGGGTGTAGAGTCATTGCAGGATCAGTTGTGGGCAGGCAGCTGAGCCAGAAAAGGCAAGTCACAGTGGTGCTGGGGTAAAGCTGCAGGCGTGTGCAAGAGCGAGGTGTCTAGCAGAAGGTGAGTCATCTGAGATACGGCGAAGTTGGACAGTGGTGCAAGGGAGGCCTGAGGTCTGTGTGTTTTCTCAGGCGGTTCCCAGAAGCAGCCACAGCCAGGCTAGGGCAGGGGGCTGCGATGAGAAACCTGCTTCGAAGGGTGGAGCCGCCTGGGCAAGGCAGGGCAGGGCAGGGACAGTGTTGTTGCCTCTTCTTCCCATTTGTGGCTTCGCTTCACTTGCAAAGTGCTTTCCAAAACAGCGGGTCATTCTGTAGCAAAAGCTCTTTATTCGCCAACACACTTCCAGCAAGTGCAACCAAAGAAACATGAGTCTATGAGCACGCACAGCGCAGTTCACTGAACCCATGTCGCAACAACTTCTGAGTATCCTTTCGAGCACCCCTAGTGCCTCTCCCTCTGGGATGTCCATTTTGGAGACAGGCAAGCCTTTTCTGTGTCCATTGCCCTTCTAGCTGCTTGGCCCATCTCTCCTGACATTGCATCATGGGGTCAAGAGTTGTGCCAGGCTTAGCTGGGTTTGGAAGTAGTTCTTTCACACCCCCTCCCTGCAGTTGTAAATCCTGACTAATCTCAAAGTCCATCTGAACACCTAGGTGGGGCCATTGAGCTAAGCCCCCCCACCCTGCACTTCAACTTCTGGGAATTCTGGTTCCCAGGACCCTCCGTCATGTGATGAGTCTGTCTCTGCCTGACCTTGGAACACATGCCAAGAATAACTGCCCCTTTCTTTCCCGACACTAAGCAGGAAAGAACCTATAGCTCACGGTGCATGTCTACTCAAAAGTAAGATCTGTTAAGTTCAGTGGGGCTTCTCCCAGTGAGGGTGAATAGTGGGGCGGGCAGCTTGTGGTCTGAGGGTCTTGTCCTAGTTTGATGCAGGTGAGGCATGCCCAGAGGGAGAGAAGGGCTGGAGCAGAGGGAAACTGAGGCAGGTGGGGTAAGAGAAGGAGTGGCAGGAGGAATCCTCTGCAGGCAGTCAGTTCACATCTCAGGTAATAACAACCCTTCTCTCCCCTACAGACAGTTGAGCAAGGAGTAAGAGGAATGGATAAAAAGAAGGTGGCAGAAAGAGAGCAAAATGGGTTGCCATGGCCACTTTCCGTTCTTCCCTTGATCTTCCCTGGTCTGCACCCCTTCTGTGTTTCTACAGATGATCAAGGGACTAGAAACAAAGCCACCTGAGGAGGAACTGAAAGAACTGGGCATGTTTAGCCTTGGAAAGAGAAGACTGGGGGTAGGGGGAGATAGGATAGCACCCTTCAAGTATTTAAATGGTTGTCCCAAAAAGAAGGACCAAGATCTCTTCTTGATCATCCCAGAGTACAGGACATGGAATAACAGGCCCAAGTTACAGGAAGCCAGGTTCTGGCTAGAAATCAGGAAAAAAATTCTGACTGTTACAGTGGAACCAATTCCTTAAGGAGGTTGTGGGCTCTCCCACACCAGAGGCATTCAAGATACAACTGGACAGCCATCTGTCAGGGATACTTTAACTTGGAGTCCTGCTCTGAGGAGGGGTTGGACACAGGAAGTTGATGGCCCTCTGGCCCCTTCCAACTGTACTGTTCCGTGATTCACAACAGATTGCCTTCAAGGGAGTGTGCTCCTCAATATACTTTTGGTATATTGAATTTCAACTACATGCCAATATTTCTCTACTCCAGAGTCTGATTTGCATTCCTGTATTTTCCTATAGCATAACAGTGCTTGCTGTTACACAAAATCCAAGCCAAGCCCCAGAATGCAGTGTGGCACAGAGCTGAAAAAAACTTAAGTTCCCTACAGTGGGAATTCCCACATTGTCCAGATGCGTGTCCGTTCCCCCATTTCTAGCTTCTGATAATCAGGTTTTCTCATCCTCTTCTCTGTAGGTCTTGGTCTTAGCGCACGCGGGAAAGAGAAAGACGACCTCGAGGCCACGAGGGACTGCATCGTGCCCCAGAATGCCCACAGTTTCCTCTTCCACGAGCGTGCGAAGTAGAGGGGGCATCTGATGTGAGAGATGGCTGAGGGGGATGCAGCCCTGACCCACGAGCAACCCCCCGGGCAGGAGGAGCGGCCGTACAAGTGCAAGCAGTGCCCGCGCAGCTACCGCCACGCCGGCAGCCTGGTGAACCACCGGCGCACCCACGAGGTGGGGCTCTTCCGCTGCCTGCTGTGCCACAAGGACTTCTCCAACCCCATGGCACTCAAGAGCCACCTCCGCACCCACACAGAGGAGAGGCGCTACAAGTGCCAAAGCTGCGGCCGCGGCTTCCGGAGCTTTTCTCAGCTGACGAGCCACCGCTGTGCGGCTTCTGCCACCCGGGACCAGGAAGAGGAAGAGGGGAGCAACGGCGGGAGCTGCACCTTCCCCAGGGGCCAGGACACCTCGTCTTCCGATGCGGACACCTACACGGGCATGGAAGGCAGCAGCGGGAGCCTGCTGAGCAACCTGGAGAAGTACATTGCCGAATCGGTGGTGCCCGCTGACTTTTCTCAGCTGGAGTTTCCAGTCAAGATGGAGACGGAGGGCAAGGTGCCCCTCCCCATGTGCCAGGGGGAGGAGGAGGAAGAGGAAGAGACGGGGCTCAGGACAGGTGGCGCAATGAGTGAGGATGAGCGGCGCTACAAATGCAACCAGTGCGACAAGGCCTACAAACACGCCGGCAGCCTGACCAATCATAAGCAGAGCCACACGCTGGGCGTCTACCAGTGCGCCATGTGCTACAAGGAGTTCTCCAACCTCATGGCACTCAAGAGCCACACGCGCCTCCACTCCGAGTACCGGCCCTACAAGTGCCGCTTTTGCCACAAAGCCTTCCGGCTGCCCTCCGAGCTGCTGAGCCACCAGAGGGCCCACAGCCCAGATGAGGGCAAGGCTGTGGGCCGGCCGGCCTGGGAGGGCTTGGAGCACGGCATCTGGGAGGAGGACTCCATCGAGACCTTGGCCAAGCTGGACATCTATCACCCTCCGCCCAGGGGCGCGAACTTTGGAGACGGTGCCCCTTGCAGCCTGAAAGACGCCTGCAAGGTGGGAGGGGGCGAACGCTGCAACCCGGACGGGGAGCTGTGTGTCCGCTGTGGGGGGACCTTTGCCGACGAGGAGGAGCTGAAGGGACACAGTTGCCTCTATCCAGAGGTGGCAGAGGAGGAGGAGGAGGAGGGCAGCACCCCCTCCAAGCCAGCACCTGGGGCCAATGGGACTTGGGAAGCAAGCCTGAAAGGCGAGGAGGGCTATACCATGTCGGAGGAGCGGCCCTTCCGCTGCGGGGACTGCGGGCGGACATACCGCCATGCAGGGAGCCTCATTAACCACAAAAAGAGCCACCAGATTGGGGTGTACAGCTGCACCGTGTGCTCGAAGCAGCTGTACAACTTGGCCGCCCTGAAGAACCACCTGCGGGTGCATCTCAAGTCCAAGCTGAGCACTTCGTCCTCTCCCGAGGAGGCTCCGCAGCATCCGTCTGCCGCCACGGACAGCCCTGGGGAATCTGCTGACAGCCAGGTGCAGCCCCCACACGTCTGGAAGGCCGCCTCCTGTCCCAAGGAGGAGGAAGAAAGAGGGGCAGAGGAGGAGGAGCGTCCCTACCGGTGTGGGGACTGTGGGCGGAGTTACCGGCACCGCGGCAGTCTGGTGAACCACCGCCATACACACCAGACGGGGATCTTCCAGTGCTCCATCTGTCCCAAGCAGTACTCCAACCTGATGGCACTCCGGAATCATGTCCGCGTGCATCTGCGAGCGGCGCGCATGCGCGGCCGGGAGCAGGGGGGTGGCCTGACCTGCAGCAGCTGTGGGGAGAGCTTTGAGGAGGAGGCCGAGTTCCAGCTCCATCAGCTGCGTCACTTGCCCTGCACGGAGGACATCGAGGCAGCGGCCGTCCCGAGACTGGGTGTCTTTCACCCACAGGAGGCGGACCTTCTCCAAGCCATCAAGCAAGACGTTGAAGCCCTGGAGAACGGTGCAACTGTGGCTGAGGATGTCCTTCCCACCTCTGAGACGGCGCACGTCTGCCCGCCGTGCGGGATGACCTTTCCCAGCGTGGCAGACCTGCAGAGTCACGCCGTGCAGCACAGCAGCGATGGGGACTGGCCGGAAGGCCTGGCCGTGCGGGCCGAGTCGCCTGGGTCTCCCCAGCGCCTCTACGGCTGTGACCAGTGTGGCAAAGCATACCGGCACTCAGGGAGCCTCATCAACCACAAGCAGACGCACCAGACAGGCGACTTCAGCTGCTCGCTCTGCAGCAAGCACTTCCAGAACGTTGCCTCCCTCAAGAGCCACTTGCGCAGTCATCAGAGGCCCAGAAGAGGACCGTCTGGGACAGCCGTGACCACAACCGAGGACGAGGATGGCGAAGTGGAAGAGGGCTCTGCCGTGCCCAGGACCCTGCCCTCGGGGGAGGAGTTCAAGGGCAGCTATGACATTTTGGAGGAAGGTGCTCTCACCAATGGCTGGGAGTCGCAGACACGGGCTCCCTCGCCGTTGCTGGGGGAGCCAGAAGGGCTTCCCTATCTTTCTGAGCAGGGTGGGCTGGGCTTTGACCAGGCCAGCAGCTTGATGAGCCACAAGCAGACCCAGCAGCTGGGCATCTACCAGTGCTCCCTCTGCCCCAAAGAATATTCCAGTCTTCTGGCTCTGAAAAATCACTTCCATGGACACGCCAAGGCCACATCGTCCAGCCAGGGCAGCCCTGGCCGGGACAGCGGTGCTGAGGAGCAGCCCTTTCTCTGCAGCCTCTGTGGCATGATCTTCCCGAGCGAGGAGGGCCTCCAGCACCACAGCCTGCTGCACGAGGAGGGAGAAAGCCAGGGGGAGGGCTTGGATGCGGTGCTCAAGCGGGAGGCTGAGGTGCAGGTGGATGGAGCAGGAGATCGAGAAGAGGAGCAGCTTCTGTCCCACATCTGTGGCTATTGTGGGCAAACATTTGATGACATGGCCAGCTTGGAAGAGCATAGCGACGGGCACCTGGAGGAGAAGGCCGCAGCCTTGGCTGACACATCCATCCAGCTCCGACGAGCACCTCGCCTGGAGGAGGACCCGCTCCGACGAGCGCCTCGCCTGGAGGAGGACCAGCTACCTCCAGCTCCATGCATAAAGGAAGAACAGCCCCTCTCACACCCGCTGGAAGTGTCAGCCACAACGTGTGACTTCCTGGACAACCGACCGTATGCTTGCGGTCAGTGTGGCAAGACCTACCGGCACGGTGGCAGCTTGGTCAATCACAAGAAGATCCATCAGATCGGCAATTACCAGTGCGGGGTCTGCTGCCGGCAGTATCCCAATATGTCTGCCTATCGGAACCACCTGCGGAACCATCCGAGGTGTAAGCTGAATGGCAGTGTGCCGGAGGTACGGCAGCCAGCACCCGCAGAAGGAGGAGCGGGGGAGCCTTCCTCTGCTTGTGAGATGCCCAGGGAGGAGCCTGTTGCCGATGAGGTTCTGGCAGCCCAGACCGGGGCAGATCCTCCACATGCTTCCTCCCTCATGTCTCCCTCTGGAGAGGAAAGATCGGGACAAGGCAGAGAGCAGAATGCTAACCAGCCGGAGAACAAAAAGGCCCGGGTGTTTGACATCTGTGGGGTGATGTATGAAGCGAAAGCAGCATCAGAGGCACTTCAACCGCTACAGTTTTCCAAAGAGCAGAAGAAGGTTGGGAGAGACGAGGAAGAAGCAGACCAGGAGGGGGGGGACGGCCCCAGCGCTGAGGAGGAAGGCTCCCCGTCTGAGCGCCCCTTCCAGTGCGACGTCTGCGGGCGCAACTACAAGCACGCTGGCAGCCTGATCAACCACAAGCAGACACACAAGACGGGTCTCTTCCACTGCGGCATTTGCCACAAGCAGTTCTACAACCTCATGGCACTCAAGAACCACAACCGCACCCACTTTGAAACCAAGCGCTACAGGTGCCCGGAGTGCCCCAAGGCCTTCCGGCTGCAGAAGCAACTGGCGAGCCACCAGCGCGTGCACCGCGACCGGAAGCGGGAGCCTTCCTCCCACTCATCCAGGAGATTCGCTCAGGCCAAGCGGGCAGCCAAGGCAGAGACACTGAGCCGCCCTCCTGGCGCTGCGAAGCAAGCCCTGGAGCCGGAAGAGCGCCCCTACCGGTGTGGGGAGTGTGGGCGCACCTACCGCCACGCGGGCAGCCTCCTCAACCACCAGAAGAGCCACAAGGTCGGACACTTTGCCTGCGCCCTCTGCACCAAGGCCTACCCCAACCTCATGTCCCTCAAGAACCACCAGCGCATCCACTATGAAGTGAAGCGCCACCGGTGTCCGGACTGCGGGAAGGCCTTCAAGTGGCAACGGCAGCTGCTCAGGCACCAGCGCCGGCCCCACCCCTGCAGCCAGAGCACCCCGGGGCCGGGATCCGCACGGGACAGAGTGGCTCCCCAAAAGGCGGCGCAGGCGGGCAGCTCGGCAGAGGCCCGGGCTGGCCCTTTCCAGTGCCCGCTGTGCCCCAAGCGGTTCCCCAGCCAGGCGGCCCTGAGGAACCACAGCCGCGTCCACAGCAAGAAGCGCTTCGAGTGCTCGGAGTGTGGCAAGGCTTACCGGGCCTCCCGGGACCTGATGCGCCACCTCGGGAGGCATCACGCCAAGGCTACAGGGGAGGCAGCTGAGGAAGGCAGTGCCTCCCCGAGCTCTGTGGCGGCCAGCAAGAAACTGGAGGAGCGGCCTTACAAGTGCAGCAGCTGCGAGCGGACGTACCGCCACGCCGGCAGCCTCCTCAACCACAGGAAGGCCCACAAGACCGGCCTCTACCGCTGCAGCGCGTGCCAGAAGGAGTTCTACAACCTTCTGGCCCTCAAGAACCACCTCCACACCCACACGGACCGGAAACGCCACCGGTGCCCCCACTGCGGCAAGGCCTTCCGGACTGCCCGGCGCCTGGCCGCCCACGCCAGGGCCCACGGCGGGGCGAAGGAGGAAGGGACCTTCTTGTGCGGCGTCTGCTCAAAGGAGTTCTTCCACCCACTCAGCTTCCAGCAGCACCAGCTGTCGCACACCGCGGACGATGCGCATCCTGTCGCCGGGGATGATGGTGCCACGGGAGAGGCGAGCTGAGGGTTCTGTGCACGTGCGTGAAGAGCGTGCCGAGGATTGAATGGCAGGGAGGTTGTGCTGCAGGGAAATCTGGGAGTCTGGGGGTGGCGTGGGGGAGGGGTGGCGGGGAGCCATCTCCACGGGAACAATAGTCCATGCATTAAAAAAGGAAGAGGGAAATGGTATGCAGGGGCTTGTATGGGGCAAAGAGGCACACCTGTGGGGAAGTGGTCTGCATGGGTCCCCATTATCTGCAGAACATCTGACCAGGGAACTTTGGGGGTCTGACTCCCTTCCTCAAGGGAATGTTGCATTGATCACTCCAACTGTACCTTCTTGGTGTCCCTTGAAAATGTCCCTCTGCAGCAACATGTATCTTTTTTAGCCTTGGAACATATTTGGAGAACAGAATTTTAACACCTCTGAACCTTGGAGCATGTGCTTAACCCCTCTACTGATTTGAGTTTTTGAACTTTTTAAAATACTTTTAAATCTGTTTGGCAAGTCACATGAGTAGCAAGTCCATGTTTAATATGGTATTTAAATTACTGTTTTTTTAAAAAAAAACATGCGAGTATTGTCTTAACAGAAAAACAGACAAGCTGGGGTAGGAGGAACTCAGTTAGCTGTTAAACAAAGATACCAACTCTTGGCATGGAGTAATCCTTGTTGTTTCTACCTCCTTATCTAGAAAATTTTACTTGTTTCCTTTACATGAAAGGCAGTTTTTAAAGTTGTCCCCAGTTCATCCATTTTGATGTCCTTCAAAACCTGGTTCTGAAAAAAATTAGCCAAAAGATGGTGCTGTTAGTTAGAAGTGATTCCTGGGGGCCACTGAATGAAGACATTGCGTTATGCAAGAAATGGATTTGTCCCAGCGAAATTGGGGCACAGTCCACCAGGCAGCTCTCTTGCACTAGTCCAAGTGAAACAAGTGGGGACTGCGCTAGAGCAAAGTCAGTGAGAAATGTCACCTTCTGAAACTAATTGGACAGATTTCCTGCAGCCTCGTTCTCGTGGAAAGTCATAACGGGTTTGCAGATGCAGCTGTGCGGGGACTGTCTTCTGCAGCAGTCTTTCCCAACCTGGCCTCCCCAGCAGCTCCCATTGCCCCGGCTCCCATGGCCCCAGCCCTGTGGTGGTCAGGGTGATGGAGGTTGTAATTCAGCAGGTCTGGGGGTGCCGTACGGAGGAAAGCCTCACTGTGCCCATCCTTGTGCCACAGGAATCTCCGAAGGCGTGTGGATACAGGCAGGCATCCACCTGTGTAGCTCTAAGGCCTGTCTGCTTCACAGGAAGGGAGGGAAGGCATCCAGAGCAGGCATGAAAAGGGACGTCCATTCTGAGATGTCGTGTAAGCCGTTTTTGGCCTCTCTCTGAAAGAACTGAATTGGGCCAAGCGGGAGTGCTAACCTGCAGCTTCTTTGGCTTTTAGCATTCATACCAGCAGGTTTGGGCAGAAGGGGGGTTCGCAGTCGGGGAGGAGAGAGCAGTCACCCTTCCCTTCCATTTATCCCTGAATGAGGAATGCAAAGGCATATGAAACACCCATCTAAATCAGCCCTTGGGGACCCCAGGGAAGAGGAGTATCACGCCCAATGTGTTGAGCAGTTGGTTCTCTCCCTCTGCTCCGCACCTCATTCTCTCTGCACCAGCAGAAGGATTGCGTGACACTGAGGAGATGGCTGGAGGGGCTGAAGCAGGCCCCCTGGATGCGTCTCCGGCGCTGATCTTAAAGAGCTGGTGGTGCCGTTAAGCAGCAGGGCACAGGTGCTACTTCACTCTTGGTGTCCGCATGATGGGCGTTGTCTTCTCCTTCACCTTGGGCAGCAAAGTCTCTTGGGCTGCCCTAGTCCTGAGAGAAGTCATAGCGAGAGACCTTCGAAAACATTTTCTGGGGTTTCTGGCTCGATCAAGTTGTTTTAACAACAGCTGTCAGCCCTCTACAAAGCTCCAAACACGCAGGATGGGTTATCCTCTGATAGAACCCTGTCGGGGCTTGGCTGCTTCACTCTGCGGGTAACATTTGGAAGCTGCCTCACTGAAACCTTTCCCTGCCACTAAATCGCTCGCGCATCAAGAAGGCGGCCAGCTCAGAGCACTGTTTCCTGTGGTGCCAGCTCTGCAACGCCTGCAAGGTTTTTAGAAAAACGGAAAGAGAAAGATCTGAAATGACAAAAGCCTCTGAGTGCGCAGATGGGCTCTTCCCCACATGGCCTAAAATGTGTAAAGGACAAGCCACATTTGTAGCAATCCGTTTTTAGAGCATGGGGCCAGGCGTGAGGAATCATTCAAAAGATTTTGCTGAAGCCCTTTAAAACAAGAGGACTGGCCAGTTGACTGGCACAAGTCTTCTGTTGGCATGGACAAGAGGATTGCTGCTGTTCTGATGCCAGCCCTCGTTTTCCTCATCCAGGCAAAATTTCTCGGCATGTCACAACCTCACACTGGGTGTGCATATCTGAGTGGAAGCCATCCAAATTTTTCAACAACTCATTTCAGTGGAAGAGTAGCCGTTTTTAAGTAGTTGAGAATCCTCAATTGTGATGAATGTTTTATAGAATTTCTAACATAGTTGGGTAATATTTTTTATTGGGGCGGGAGGGACATAGATATGTTTGTTTGATTATTTTGCCAGCTGAAATTTGTTTTCCACCCTTGATTTTTTATTCTTATTTCACCCAAAATATACTAAATGTTGGCACTCTAGTCCTGTTTTATGCTGCTGTTTTCAACAATTGACATATTGGCTCTTGCTCAGTGCAAAGAAAAAGAAAAACCCCTGCAAAAGTAAAATCCTTTTCCAATGAAATGCTGTTCCACCCTCCTCTTTAAAAGAATTCTTGAACGATCACCATTCAGTATGTATTTACCATGTGAATGTTACTGGGGAAAGAGTTGGGGGTTTTAGTTTTCTTTTAAAGGGGTTTGTGATGAAGAAATGTTGAAAGCATAAGATGACATTTTCCTTCCTTCCTCCCCGTCTGCCCTTCCAGAGACGGGGAAACAATCCAGAGGTCCTACTCCTCACTGAACCCACCCTCTTAGACTCTGTTGGTTTGGCCCAGGTACTTTAATAGTACAGAATCTATTTCCTAGGGTATTTGGTGCCTCCTGGTGGCCATACCTTATCTGTGAAACACTTCAAACTACAAATAAATTGTTCTTGGTTTTTAAAAGGAGCATTTTCTCTCTCTCTTTCTACATGAGAAAAGCCAGGCCAGATCAGACCAAATGTCCATTGAGTATTCTTATTTTCATTATTATTGCAATGCATTTATATCCTACCTTTTTCCTCTTGTGAGGAATGTAAGGGGGTTTACCTAGCTCCATTTTTATGCTCGCAACAACAGCAACAACCCTGTGTAGTAGTTTAGGTTGAGAATGGGTGACTGGCCCAAAGTCATGACTGAGTGAACTAGAGCCGGGATCTCACGGAAGCCATCCTGCACTCCAAACACCACATCACACTGGCTCTCCCAGTTATTTGAAATACTTTTTAGACCTTCTTTAAGAGTAATACCTTACCTACCCTTAGTGGGATATGGGGCTGGTGGATGTAGATTAGCCCTACTGAAAGAACTAGAAAAGGCAGTTTAAGGGAGATGTTGGGGATGCTGGAAAACTGCCCTTGTGCATGTGCACTGGGTGTAGAACCCCATGCACCATATCCAGTATATGGGGCCTCGCATTGGTGGGTTTCTGCGGCAAGCCGCACACCTGGGTGAGCATGTGAATAAGCCAGTGGAACTGATTCCAGATAAGTATATCTAGGATAGCAGCCTAAACGTGTCTCTCTGATGCAGTTTCAGAGCATTTTAACCCAGTCTTCTCCAAACTGGTGCCCCCACCAAATGGTTTGGACTACAAGTCCCATCATTCCTCATGATTAGCCATATTGACCGGGGCTGCTGAGTGTTCAAGTCCAGAACAATGGAAGTCGGGGAAGCTGGCTGCTTAAATTTTGTGAGGGAGCCTGGTTCATCCTCAGAGCTTTCTGGGGGCGGGGGTGGGGAGGCAGTGCTGGGATTGGCCATAAATTTTACTTATTAAAAAAAAATGTATCCCACCCTTCACTGTGTCTCAGGGCAGTGATAACATAAATAACACACAGCATCACAATAATATATACAATCAATGGTAAAAACAATACAAACATTTAAAATACTGGGAAAATAAAAGAGTTTTGGCCTGGTGCTGAAATGAAAGAAGTGTCGGTGCCAGGCTGGGGAGCCCATTCCATAAGCTGGGGTGCTACCACAGAGAAGGCCCTTCTCCAGGTAGCTTCTCTTCTGCTTTTCTTCAAAGAGGAATCCCAAAGAAGGACCTCTGCTCCAGATCTTAGAGGCCAGGCAGCTATATATGGAAGGAGGCATTCCTTCCATATATATGGGGGTTAAGAGAGCCAAAATATATAAAAAAGACCTCCTTTAGCTTAACTCTCACTGCAAATAACTAAGCCTGAGGGGAAAGGTTTCCACAATGGGACCCAGAGTGCACAAAAGCTGGGAAGCTGCCAGAGAGCTTGTTGGGGGTGAGGGGTGGTCCATAGAGGAGTGGGCATGGATATTTAGGGATCCTAGGAGGGTTGCATTGTGGCCCGGGCCTCAGGTTCCCTACCCCTGCCATAAGGACTACCCTTCCCATTTAATGGTCTTCTGAAATGTTTTGGATGCATGAAAACCTCACAGACACCCCGAGGTGCCTTGTCTGGGATCGGGTGCCAGAGTATTACTGCTTGTAAGGTCATTCAGGATCCCCAGAATTGCCTAGAAGCTCTGCTTCAACAGGTATCAAAGCAATCATTTTGGTTTCTTATTAGGTTACATCTGAGAAAGCAACTGCTGACTTTTGAGAGTTGCTAACAATAGTTTTGGAATCAAATTGGGCAAGAAATCTGTATTTGGTCTAAACTAAATACAGTTCATATTAATGGAGTTGGTTGAGAAGTTCCATAAAGGGCCTTCCGTATATGCAAACCCGTATTTTTGTCAATTGTGTAGCCACAGATGCCACTTGAAAGCTGAGGTGTGTGTCATGAATTCTGTCATCATAAACAGATTCTGAAGTATACAAAACTGAGCAGCTCAGCACGGAAACCAACAGCCATCCTAATTTTCTGGCAGGGTTTGCATATATACTAGATGTTTTACTATGGGTTCTTGGGACAGGTGCTGTAATGTTTACTGTTGTGACACAGATAACAATAGTGCTTGAGTTTAATTTATTCTCATTATTTCCCATTTTTGCAAAGCATTTTCCAAAGTGATTTACAGAAATAAACCAAAATATAATAATAATAAATACAAAATGTGAAATAGATCAAATATAAATAGATATAAAAAAAAACCCCAGCAGCATTACAGTTACAACAACAACACAGTTTGGTAAAAAAAAAAATCATTAAATAACTTCCAGAATAAAAGTTTTCAGCACTGGTCTAAAAACAGTACTGGATCTCCCCATGAGAAGAATCCCTTAAGTGCCATCTGGGACATGCATGTTTAATATTTCAAGCCTCTATGAACAGCAACCATTCTGATCCTGCCCAAGCATAGAAATTTAACAGTGAATCTCTTGAGAACATCAGGATTCCTCAAATAATTTACTTTGTACAATAAAATATTATGATAAATACACACATAACCATGACAGTTTTACAAGTGTGTAACCTTTTAAGGCCACTTGGAGACCACCAATCCACTGGAGAAGGCCTAGATTTAGGACTCATGTTCAGCTCCAAGAGCAAAGCTTAATTTCTAACAATCCACCAAGGCTCCAGAAGAGCTGTAGTGATACATTGACAAGCACATTCCGCTTTGATGAGGGAAATTCAAGTTCATATTCTGGCTCATTTACAAGCTCAGAGCCGGTCTAAATGCTTCCATGTCTTGGGGGCATGTTGAAGGACTAGAAGAACTCTGGCTATCTTGGACCCAGAAGAGCCTTCTGTACTTATTCTCAAGGTCTCTTCCAATTCCCTTCTCTGGCATGCATGTAGGGAAAGCCACAGAAAGATCTGAGGGGCTCCTACTGAGATCTCAGAAGAAGGTATCCAAATCTGTGGCCATAAGCCTGCCTATTTAAGGGATTTGTGAAGATACCAAAACACTCTGAAACAGCATAAATTAAAAATTACACACACACACACACACACACACACACACATATATATATTCTTGGGACTGGCTGATGGGTGCATTAAATTGTTAGGGTACATCCATGACCTGAAAGCTGAAATTTGGCACATACGGCTTTCAATCCATCACGGCTAGCTAAAGAAATAGAACAAGACAGCCTAATTACTGGAAAAATCTGAACCCTGGTCAAGTTGCTCGTCTCCTTTAAGGTTCTCATTACAAGAGCTGGCAGTGTTCCAGCACAGCAAGCAAAACCACGGGTGGGAGGAAGCACTGTACAGTGCGAGTTCAGTTTTGTTTGAGGCTGGAAGTCATGGCTGGAAGACTTTTCCGTACTTTCAGAACATGATGGATTCTATAATAAGTGACAAAGCCTCTGTTCCAATTTGTCTTCATGATTCTGTGGAGCTCCAGCCCTGGGCAAGGCCTTAGAACAGGCCCTTTGGATTTTGCTTTCCCTCTGAGAGTAGACAGATGGGGGGTTTATCCTGTTCTAAGGATTGCCAGACATTGCTCTCATTTTATCACTCACAGCATGCATTTGAGGTAGACGGAAAGAGGCATTGATCCAACTTGCACTTCAGTGGCTGAGCATGGGATGCGTCTCTTTTCCTCAGTCTGCATGTTTGCAAAATGGGAGAAATGAGTCAAATCCTGCCAGGGTTTCCTTTTGTTGTGCTCAGCACGACAGGGCTCCCTCCTCATCTCGGAGGGTTTGGCTGTCAGGTATGAAAAATGTCCCCTCACAACCCACACAGTATCTACTAAATTATTCTGCAGCAATATCAGGGAAGGATCAGGGTGGGAGCCCTCGAAAAGTACATCTGCCCAGACATCTGCATGAGGGAAACCAGCAATACTGTCCATTCAAAGGTCTTTTCAAGGGAGTGGCAAGAGAAGAGCCAGGAGTTCCAAGAAAACCAAATCAGGCCTGTTCCATGTCATGTTTTGCCCTTCCATCTTTATGCATCGTATTCCAGCTGTCCCACTTCTGCAAAACAAAAGAAACAAAACTGAGCAAATGTTGTTTATTCAGGAGATGAGTGCTATTAGAACTAAAAGCATGTTTTATTGCTGGAGAGAGAGGGAGAGGGAGAGGGTGAGGGTGAGGGAGAGAGATCAGGATAGAGTGTGATGCATATCTAATAATTAAAAATGTGTGTCTCTATCTGTCCATCCAGACCATATTGCCAAGATTATGACATCTGAAACTGTACCTCAGGGTTATTTTGTTTTAAAAATCCCTTCCTCAGCCCATGACAGTCACTGGCTGGGCCTGGTCAAGCCAAAAGCTCTTAGCATAGCCTTCATTATCTTTTTTTTTTTTTTTCCAAAAAATGGGAGGTCCTTTGCCAGCTTGATCACCGTCTGGTGAAGGGAAGAGTAGAGGCCAAGGGCAGTAATGTACTAAATGATAAAAGGATGAAAAAAGGGATGCTCTTTTGATCAAAGAGCATCTTGGTGGAAAAAGATCCTAGGAGCATCCTTCTCCAACTTCGTGCTCTCCAGATTCCTAGCATGCCCAGCCAGTGAAGTCCAACACACCTGGAGGACATCAGGTTGGAGAGGTTTCTACACTGGGGGGCTGTGATAAGGTGAATGAATGCATGAGTGGCACACAAGCACTTCAAAGATGGTGAAATGTGCTGAAAGACCCCTGTTGAGCCCATGAGTCTCCTACTGCAAGGAAGACCATGGTTGGTGGTCTCAGGGCCCCTTACCTGGAAGAGATGCATTCGTGCAGCTGTCTTCCTCATGGACCACGGGGAGAGGCGTCTTTTGCACACCAAAGTAAGTAGTTGAGCCAGTTTTCATGACCCACTCCTGGTAGGCATGGACTGAAGTGTAAACTCCTGGGTGGACCAAAGTCCCGCAGCCCTTTCCAAAACTGGAGATGCCTGCCAAGAACCACATCCCCTCATGGTTGCAAACCAGTGGTTCTCCAGCACTTTCCTAGAAATCAAAGAATGAAAAGGTTACTCTCTCAATGCAAGAGAAACCAAAAAAGGGAAGAGTGTGACGCCACCAAAACTAGATGCAAGGCAGGGACGTGGGAAATGTTTTAGAATGCAATCCTGTGCATGTGTAGACAGAAAAGGGCCACCTTTTTCTCTGGGGTATGCTAGGAAGTGCAGGCTTTTTTCTGTCTAAACATAGTTGCATTGCACCTTTAGTATCCATTGGCTTATACTGGGCCACCATTGGGCTATCTGGTCCTTCTTCATGGGTAATATTTAATACTAATAGTAGCTACTCCTGCCTTCATGTAAAGTCCCAAAGATGACGGTACTTTGCTTAGGTGACACAAGAAGATCTGTAGAACGCTGTCTCTGGCAGGGAGGTGGATTCTTTTGGTTTTAACAATTCCTAGTCCAAAAGATCATTTTGGAGCATTTTAAGTTTCACCAGCTGAGAGCAGTTTTTCCCAGCTAAATCCATCTGGACTTCCACACGGCCAGAAATGCTGGGAGCCGTGGTTCTGCACAGCTGGAGGGCACCTGGTTGGGGGAGGGCGGCTCAGAGGAAGGCCTGATCAGAGGCAGCCCCCCCAGGTCCTTTGGCCTCATCGCCAATGGAAGTCCATTAGGGCAGGGTAACTCTTAGAACTCAGGGCTGTCACAGCTCGATGCCCCTTTGCATCTGGGCTCTGCTCCCTGAACGGGCCTAGCTGGTGGCAATTTATTTATTTATTTAAAACATCTCTATACCGCCCCATTCGCCGAAGCCTCGGGGCGGCTCACAACATGAAGTTAAAATACGAAAAATAACAATATAAAAATAACAATATAAAATAAGTAACAATATAAAATGCGAAGATACTCCGTCTGGAGGGAAGCACGGAGAAATGGCACTACATTGGTTCCTCCATGCAGCTTCATCAAGCAACAGAAAAGGCTGGGAGCTTTCACATTTGGAATGGAAGGCACTGGAGAATCGGCAAAGACAGTGGCCGAGAACTTCAGCACCACACTAGGAATGGACAGCTCCACACAGCGAGAGCAGCTGCGCCTTCTTCCTCTTCTCGGCTTATTCAGGCGAGCTAAGAGGCGTCCTACAGTTTGGGCCTTGAAGGTGGGGACAGGCCTGTTCTCTAAATTAATTGTCCTCAAAAACTATTCCATCCAAATGTTTGCAGGCACAAACGAAAGAGGAAAATGGCTTGCATTACACGCTGTTCAAAAAGCAGTATTTAGCTGAAACGTTTTCCCCACATGGGAATGAAAAGTCCTCCTCCAATAAATTGTACTGATTTCACCTCTGCTCTCTTTTCTTTTTCATTTTTTAGGGGAAGGGGGACAGGCCAATTTCAAATGGCCGTGTTCCTGTCTGTAGAAAAATTGGTACACACTCTGGGCAATCACTGATAGGGCCACCGGCTTTCCCCCTTCCCATGTATCCGTTTGAAGCACCCCAAGCCGAAAGGCCAAGGCTCCTTACCTCACAGCGCATGCTGCTTTTGTGGGGTCTGGCGCACATCATGGAGTCGGTGATGGGGACTTTACTCCCCGGGTTGCTGTTCTTGTCATAGATGCAGTTGCAGTTCTTGGAGCTGATAAGCTTTACCTCCACGCCACCCAAAGAACCGGACGGCTTGTCCCCGTCTGCACAGAGATGGACAGGCAGTGTTGATGAAGGGAAAAGCGGGCCCCACAAGTCAGGAATCCACCCACACCGGCCCCCAAAGGGGCATCCAGGACACTTGTATGCTGCTCCCCAACATACCAGTCCTCCGTCCACGGGTCCAGCACGTAGAGCCGAAGGGGAACTGGTGGGTGGAATAGGGGGCGCAAATGGTGCGGATGCTGTCGCCGAACACTACAGGCTGGGCCAGCTTAGCCATGGCGATGTCGAAACCCTCCGTCATGTTAATGTAGGCAGCATGGAGGGTGTTGCTTTGCAGGGCTCGCTTCTCTTGCCACTTCTGCTGCCCTCCTTCCAGCGTCTCCCCTAGCAGGACCTCCCAGCCCTCCGTTTCCTGGCGCCTGCAGAACACAAGACAGAAGGAATGATGCACCGGGAAGGAAGGGCGAAATATATGCTGGCAGGTCCAATTTGAATCCTGAATGGCTCTTCCTGGCATCCATTCCTTTGATCTCTATCCTGCCTTTTCCCCAAGAAATCGGGCTTGAGGTGGGTACCAAGAATAAGACCGAGATGAAAACAAAAACCACATGAAAAGGACCCTGAAAACACGTGAATGAAAAGCACAGCCACAAAAGAGATAAACAGCTGCTAACCCAATATGGGCCCCTTTTAGCAAGAGGCGAGGTTGTATGAGGAAGACCTGGCTGAATATAAACGGATTTGCCTGCAGGTGTAAAGATGACAGAGAGAGAGCCAAGTAAGACTCTCTTGGCGGGGAGTTGCAGAGCCTGGGGGTGGCCACCGAGACAGCCCTGTCTTGTGTCCCCAGCTGTATCTCAGATGGTGGCAGGAGTACCCGAAGGGCCTCTCTGGAAGGGCAGGCTCATGCGGGAAGCAGCCGTCTTCAGAGAGCCTCATTTCCAGGCCCCGCACAGTGTGTTGCACTCCACGGGTGTGCGGGCACAGGCACACGTGTGCATTTGAGTGCACAAAGGGCGGTCTGGCAGGCCAGAGCAAAGATTTCCAGGGCATAATGGAAACCCTGCTCTGTCTCGCTTAGCGAGGGTCACGTCTCCTGATCGGCCCCTGCCCAGAATGTGCCAGGCCTTTGGGCTGGCAGACCTGCTGTGCCTGTAGCAGAGGAACTTTCAGGAAGACACTTTGGCTTCTGCCACTGAGGCTTTCGTCAGTGCTAGGGGTGCAGAAAGCTTCTCCTGTTGACCGTCTGCCTGCTGTTACTCTGCATGCCCCGCCCTTCCCCTCTGAGATAGCTGCGGGAGCTCAGACGACCCGCCCTGCACCCTCCACTCACCCGATGAAGCACTGCGCCGCCGTCAGGATCCAGTCCTCGGCAACCAGGGTGCCCCCGCAGACGTGCTTCCCCCTGTGCCGCAGGCTCACATACCAGGGCCAGGGCCCTTCTGCCCCACGGCCAGCTGAGTCCTCTTTCATCACCCCACATCCTGGAGAGCAGAAAGGGAGAGTGAAATGGGGCCAACTCCCATCACTTCTTGGAAGCCTTCAAAGCATACCCCCTGCCACCAACTCCCCAGATTAGGGGAGGTCCCCCAAAGTAAGAGATTCCAGGAGTCAAGCCTTCTCAGAAAGTGAATTTAATCGTAGGGAACATTAAGAAGCAGGTACTACACAAAACTGCCCAACTGCAGCCAAGGTTGGGGGTTGAAGAGCTATCCATGGTGCTAATCCTATTTGTGGGGGGGGGGTTCAACACGTGACAAGCCGGCCCCTTTAAAGTTCTGACCAAAACCCAGAGTGGATACACCACCCCACTGCCACTGGGCCCCCAGACCATGGCAAAAGTCATGATGCCTTTTTGTACCTGGGTGTTGAGCACCCATTCCATGGGTCTAATTTGGCCTGCCTGGAATCCCAGTCTGGCCATCCTGGTTTCCCTAGATAGCCGCCACATCCCCTTCCCCACAACTGCCAGTAGATTCCTGACCTTGCACAGGTTTCCCCCCAGTCTAAAAGGCTGAAATGCCCCCCTATCCAAAGCTTAGTTCCTGGCAGGGAGAGCTGTAAGCCAAGATAGGCTGCTGTTGGGGGATTTTGGACGGACCCAGCTCCCTCCCTCTGCCTTCGGGACCAGAGAAGTTCTGCGGCCACAGACAGCTTCTTTGGAGCTCAGTTTGGCTGTCAGGATGAATGAGGCTGAGCCCCACTGTGGTGCAGCTACGGGCTGGGCCAGGTAAGGATGGCAGCATTTCAGAGAAGGAAATCACGGGGCGAGGGACTTCTTTGGAAAAGGTAGGCTGCACAACAGGGCATCTTCCGTAATCTGAGAGAAAGAACCATACCTGTGCATAAGTACTTGTCAGAGGTATTCACCACGGGCTTGATCTGATTTGCAAAGCTGGCCCCTTCGACATGATTCTGGATCCAGCTGGCATAGGACCTTGTCTCTGTCAGGATGGTCGGTCCAACGAATCGGCCGCAGTTGAGAGCAGCACTCATAATTCCTGCCTGGAACCACTGACCCTTCTCCAGGCAGACCACAGGGCCGCCGGAATCACCCTGCAATGGGAAGAGGGGCTTTAAATCCGGGACACAGAGCTCATAGGTTCATCGAGCGGCTAGTGCCAGTGGCCTTTACTCTGACAAACACGTCTCTAGCCTGGAAGAATAGCTGGTAAGTGTGGCATTGATGGCCACGGATAGCTGGGAATGGGATACCCTCTCCAGGCTCTGATGGGGAATACTCACGAATCTGAGAGGGAATGGATTGGGCAGTGAGTGTGTGAGACAGCACAACTGACGGTTGTGGAAGAGGAGAAAGAGAGAGAGAGAGAATGACCCACCCGATCAGGGAATGTGTCTTTCAACAGAGAGGGGGCTCCTCCCCCTGCTCTTAACATTGACCCCTTACATTTAGTAGGACTAATTTCTGCATAGAAGTACATAGGCTTGTACTCTTATACTCCTTTTTCCTCCCCATTAATTTGTGTTTTCCAATAAGGCACAAAATCAGTATGAAACTGTAAAGCAGCTGGGCAGGGGGATGCAGGAGTAAAGCAGGACCCACAGGGTCAACGTTTCACTGCTGGACCCCTTGGCCAGACACTGCCTCCATATCTGCATCCATAAGGGCTAGAAACTTGCTTTCCAGCAACCACTGTGGTCTGATCCAGCAAGGCAAGGGCCTGCAAGCTCAGGAAGAAATGCCAGTCACACGTGCCATTCCTTTGCCAGCTGCAAACCCATCTTTTGCTCACCTGGCAAGGGCCCGCCCGGTGGTTGGGACTCAGGGCACAGACTGTCTTGGGCAGGGCTGGGTTGACGATCTGCCTGATCCGTAAGTTGCTATAGATGCAATTGCAGGTGTCGGCGGTCAGCAGCTCCACGGTCATCTCCTGGAGGATCATGGGATCTGGCAGGCTGACTGGAAGGTGGGAGAAAAAGAGGTGAGACATGCAGACACACCTGCAGAGAGGCAAACGACTCATATGGGGCTCCTCATGTCTTCTTGCCTGGAGAACTGACCAGGCCTACACCTGCACTAGGTCCTCCCAGTCGATTGCCTGACAGCTCCGTTCCCCAATCCATCTCCTTCCAGAGCAGAGCAGAGAAGCTGGAAGGCTGGCTCCCAAGAACAGGCTCCCTGCTGGCATGCCTTAGAAATGGAGAACCACATGATGTGATGCAACCTGCCAACCTGAGGACTCTCAGATGGCCTAACCTAAGAAGGGCCTTTTGGAAGCAGATCCAGGGACCATCTCATCCAGGTGCCTCCCGGAAGCCCAGAAGGAGGTCTGAAAGGAAACAATCCCCCCTGGCAGGTGGCTTCCGGGGGCACGTGCTCCCTGAACCTGGCCTTAGCCCAACAGCCCTGGTGACTAGAACCTGGTCCTCCATGGACCGTGGACTGCCTTGGAGGCCATCACCACATTCTGGAGCAGCAAATTTCGAAAATTACTTGATGGCTGTGCAAAGATGGCCCTTCTTTTGCCTAGCCTGACTCCACCTTTGATCCCTTTCACTGGGCAACACAAGAGTCCTGGCATAACAACAAAAGGAGAAAACTTCACTTTCTCCACACATAAGAGAATTTCATAAATCTCTATTGTTGCATCCCTTTGGGACCTCATTTTAGTCATGTTCAGACAGAAAAAAAAGTCCTTCGACTTCCAGCATTTGCCAGTCAGCTTGGCTGGCCGCGGAATCCTGCGTGTTTATGTAGGACTTGGGGGGGGGGAGCAACATGCCTAGGATTTGACCTTTATTTGTCTCATGGCTCACCCCACCCCCAAAATGCACTATGTGACTGCTTAGTCCTTTCCTCACACAGAAGCTGCTTCAGCTCCTTTATCCTTTTGGCTGCCCCCAGATCACGTCATCCGGTGGGTCCCTCACAAATGCCCTCAGCCAGGCAGTCAATGAGGATGAAGCCCGCTCTGGATTATTCGCATAGGAAGCTGTCTAACCATGCATTGGTTCATCTAGGCCAGTACTACCTCCGTGCATCCTGGCCAGCTGAAGGTCTCCAGTGAGGGCCTTTCCCGCCTCCTGCCTTGCAGCTGCAGATGCCTGGAGATGCCTGAACTTGCATGCTGCCCCTCAGCTGCAGAAACACCCCACACTCTCTTCCCTTCTCTTCCCACTCACCATCGGAGGCAATATTCCCCCAGCCGCTCAGCCAACACTGCGTCCCAAAGGCAAACTGGTGGTCACTGTAGGGCAGGCAGATGGGTGAGATGTCCCCGCTGTAGCTGACGGGCTTGTCCAGGTGCGCCAGGGCGATGTCGCTCTGCACCGACCCCTCCTTGTAGCCCTCGTGGAGGATGACTTTGGAGATTTTGCGGTCCACCCCTGTCCTCATCTCGGCTGTCAGTTTCACCTGGCCCAGGACCACCTGGCAATCCTCAGGGCAGATTCGTTTTCTATCCCTGGAGGGGGAAAATGTGGAAAAGGAGTGAGAAATGTTGCCCACTCTGTAAAATTATATCAAGGGATGCCAGGGCAAGATGAGTCCTGGAGCAAAGCTGGGGAAGGGAATGGTTCCTCCTGTCAGCCCTATTGAATATGGCGGATAGTGTGGGATCATCTTCACTGTTCATTTAGTTTCTCTGCTGCCCAGTAGCTAGCGCTCTCTGAAACAGGACCTCTGCTGGCCTCGGCAGGAGCGTGAGGCCGCGAGGTGGGTAAGAGGGGCCGAAAGGGCCCCGCTTGAGCCTCCATCGTCCCCCCTGCTCAGCGGCAAGGAACAGCAGGGGAAGGCGCTGCCTGAGGACCCCTGCTGAGCTCGACGGTGCATCTTTCACTGCTTGGCCACTTTAAGCCCAGGTGGCTTGAAGGCCATCCTGGCCCTGAGGCCTTCTCCAAACCCGCCGCATGTTTCCTTGAAGTGCCTGCATGTGGGAACAATCTTATCCTTCAATACAGTGGGCTGTAAGGCTAAGAAGAAATGTTTGTGATGATGGCTAAATAAATACTGGGACTGTGGTCTTTCCTGGGATAGCACGAAGGCGGCATCCCTCCCACGAGATGGTCCAGCCTGCCTTCGGCATGCGTGAGCAGCATCTCAAGAAAACGTCTGCGACCCTTACAAGGACCTTTTACTATAAAGATCCCCGAGAAAGTGCAGCCTTCCTCAAGTGGCAGCTGCTCAGAGACCCTGAGGTTGCCGCCCCTTTCCCCCCTCGTGCCTCCCGTGCCGGCCCGGGTGATGAGGAAGGGGAGCCGCCAAGGCTACAGCAGCCTAATTCCTCAGGCATGTGAGCCAGTGAGGAAGATGAGGAGCAAGAGCTGCCGGTGACGAGGGGGTGACCAGGGGGACTCGCTGAGGGAAGGGCCTCTTCAGGGGGTCCTGCCCAGAGACCTGGCTCAGGAAGCCACGGCGGGTGACTGCAGAGGCGGGTGCCGGCTGAGCTGATTTTCATCTTCCCTTGCAGCATCCTGAATCTGCCCTCCTTCACCTCGGATTAGGTCCTTGTCTGTGTCCGTGGCATCTGGGATGGCGCCAGCACACTCCGAACCACGGGACACAAATGGGCCCGCCAGAGAAGGCCAGAAGTCCAAGGTCCTCCACGTCACCTAAGGCCCCGGAGCCACTGGAAGGGCTGGGGGGCTGCGAGTCTGGGGCAAAGGGGAAGGGGACGTGTGTGGGCGAGGTGGGGGCGAGGCTGAGGCCCTTCCGGGAGGCCATTCCCAGAGGACCCCGGAGGGCACTCCGCAGCCACTCACTTAAAGAAGCAGTGCGCCGCGGTCAGGATCCACCGCTCATCGATGAGGGTCCCGCTGCAGATGTGGCGCCCCTTGTACTGGAGGCTGACTTGCCATGGCCACTCGCCACGCCGCACGTTCTTTCCGCCCGCCACCCGGAGGACGAGAATGGGTTTTTGACGCCCACACGTTAGCCCTGAGCAAAAGAGAGACAGAGCGGTTCGGTCAGAAGAGGCAGCCTGTGCAGAAATGGCTGTTCCCAGGACCTATCTCCCCTGCAGATGCGGGACGCATTCACACAACACACCAAGCCCCCCTTCGGATAAGCTGCGCGGTGTGGGCTCCCTCTTGGTGCTCTGGGCTGCACCCGTGTCCTCCGCAGCCTCGTCCACAGCTCCTTGTTCTGGCCTTTGTTTTTTAAAGCCTCATAAATGCGCCCCACAGTCATTTCTTATTTTTGTTTTTCTGCCTCAGCAAATTGAGCAATTGTGTAAAAAAACCCCTTTTTTTAGAAATTGCCAGTCTTTCACAAGTGTGCACGTGCAGGCCTATGGGTGCCCGATAGGGTCAACCCTTTCAGGTCAACTTCCTCCTCTGTTGCAGCAGTCAAAGGGAGCAGTAAATCAGATTAGGTAATACATAGAGGAGCTGACACAGCCAGACGGCCCATGCTGCATGCAGTTGGCACGGACCAATTGCTGAATTGTCCACGGGGGGGAGGAACAGAAAAGGGGGGATCTTACTTCCCCCTTAACAATGCACTCTTCTGGGTTTTAAGTGTCGAACTGTCACTTCTCAGTGTCCTCCACCTTTTCAGTTCTTCCCCAAATCTCCAACTTCTCCAGGAGTAATTAACTGCTAAAATTGCTCCTTTGCGGCAGGTACACAAATATCCCCTCCTTTCACAGCCAAAAAATAAGCACTTGAGAAAGACCAATAATAATGTATTTTTTAAAAACTGTCCATGGATCTGGGCAATGCTCTGCGGTTGAAAGAAATTGGTGGCAAGCCAATGATGGTGGCCGCAAAGGGCCACTCGGGCCTGACGGAGGGGCTGCCGCGGAGGCAGCAAGGGCAAGATCAGGGATTTCTGCTGTCCTTGCTGGCAGCTTGCCTGCTGATTCCCAGAACCCACAATGATCCCATGATGAAATCGCTCTCCTGGGCTTGGGCAATATGACAACCCATCATTGGTCAAAGAATCCTGAGAAGAAGCCGAGAGTGGCGAGAGTGACTGGCTATCAAAACATAGGCCACCCTCCAGGAAGTGCTCTGGGTTCAGCTGACTAAACCGTTGCGGGTAGTTAGTCACCAAGGCTTGTTGCATAAACCCAGTCTTAGAGAGCAATCCTACCGATGCTTATGCAGAAGCAAGCCACCGTGTCTTCAGCAGGATCTCCTAAGCTGGGTGCCCCCCACAGATGTTGCCCTTCACCTTCCACCACCCCCTGGCTGGTTCTTCATGCACGACCAGGAGCGGAACGACTCTGGCAGTTGCTTTTCTAGGCAATGATGAACGGGCTGCACTCTCCCCTCTTCTCCTCCTGCAGTGAACCCAAGGCAGCTCACACTGTTCTCTTCCTCTCTGTTTTATCCTCACAAGAACCCTGTGAGGTAGGCTGAGCCAAGAATCTGTGGGCCAAAGTCACCCAGTGAGTTCCGTGGCTGAATGGGGACTGGCATCCAGGTCTCCCAGGTCCCAGTCCAACACTCTGCCCACTACACCACTCTGCCCTCCACCACCCCTCATTGCATGCTAAGATGCTGTGGCATAGTGGAGCCGGGGCTCTCAGGGACAAAGGGCCGACACTTCCTTTGATCAACGGGGCACTGCCACGGCACCCAGCATTTCCTGTTCCTTCTGAGCATGGCTCCAACCCTTACAATAGCTGCAGGGGTGCAGATGGCTAGAACTGGTTCCTTGGCACTGCTGAATCCAGTGCCCTTGGCCCTGTGGCGAGGGGTGCCTGCGTTTGCAATACTGCATCGCTGCTGGGACCTTTCAGCTACTTCTATTATGTCTGTACTGGCTACAACATTTAGACAAGGGGCATTAAAAAGCAGGAAGATGTAACAAGTTCAGAGCACATACCTTGTTTAGATAATCCTTGATGAAGACCTGGAGGAAAGAACAAAAGGGACTAAGAATATTTATCATTTTCTCATATGTCTAACCATTATCCGTTGCACAAATCCAGCAAGAATATTGACACCACGTGAACAAATATCACTTCATCTTGTGAATATGCTGGAATACTTCAAAGAAAGAAAAAACCCACTAGGGGCTCTTTTAAAATGCAGATTTTTAGTTCTCATGATCTGTAAAGCTAAAGTTTGCCTGGAAGTCTCAGGATGGGTTCACATCACTTGATTTTTCTAATGTTGAAAACCAGCACTGAACGAGAAAACTTACTCCACTGAACTTTGCACCGGAGCAAAATTAACCCCCCAACCCACCCCACCCCACCCCACCCCCGCCATGTGCTTCTCCCTCGGTTACACAATTCAGATTTACAAATAGTGAAGAACACGTGTCTGCATGAGCGATGCATCAGACGGGCTTCACAGTTTTACAACAGGCAGTTTCCAGCGTCTTGCAATGGTACCAGAAACAATTGTCTTTCACAACACCGCTTCACCTCATGGATGAAGCAGTTTTTCTCCCCTGCAAACCAGTCACAGGAATGGATTTTTAGATTTGGGCTGCACTGGATTTAATTGTCCCTGTAGCTGCTCTCCTTGATCTGCAGCAATTTTAAAAGCAGTGACATTTTGCATTATGCTGTGGAAAGCTTCCCCCCTCCCCCCGCCCCCACCCAGCAAAGTACTGTTAAAGCACAAGAACAAACCAGGACAGCGTGTTTATTTTTTCTACCTCCTGGTAGGGTTAAATTGGAACTTGCTGAAGTCTAAACAATGTGCCATATTTCTGTCCCACCCCGCTGTAAATTGTTGGTACAAGAAAAAGGACAATGCAAATAGAAAAGACAAAAGTTTCTCTGTCAATGCATACTTGGCAAAGATGCAATAAAAATAAATAGCATTAGCTTTACAAGAAATTAGGATATCTTAGCATTTCTGAAAACATTTAATTGGCAGAAACAGAAGAGCAGCATTAGAAGTAATGCAGCCGATGTCTCTTGGTATCAAGTTGCCAAATGATAGTTTACAAAGTTTATCAAATTAGAGTGAAATGCTAGGCCTTTTCTTCTGTCTAACCTTGCAAGGATTGGCCCCTTAGTCTGTCTGGGTGTACTCAGAGAAACCTGACAACAGGAAGTCTTAAATTTTAACTCATTTCACTTGTGCCTGAACCTGGTGCCTCTTGTCCAATATCTTGCATTACACCATCATCACCCCAGGTCTTTACTGATATAACATGTGCCCTGGAAAGATACAGTCCTTGCCATGCCCAGGCAGATCAACGTACTTCCACTACTCCGTTCAAGAGCAATTCTGTCGCCACCTGCCAGTTCAGCCACTGAACTAGTTTGAAACTCTTCCTCCGACTGGGTCTTCTCTGGATGTGTGGAAGCACAAATCCCACCATCCCCAGCTAGCATGGCCATTGGAAAAAGCTGCCCTCCAGGTAGGCAGGGCCCCTGAAATGGCATCTACAGTTGCTATTTCTCCTCCCGTCCCAGCTCAGCTTTGCTATTATGACGATGGGACCCATCCTAGAGAAGCTAAAGCATGATAGTCCAAGCAGTCAAGATCTGACCTGATCCAACTCTGGAAGTCAGATCTTTTGAGAGTCGGGGGCTGTGGCTGGATGGGTGCGGACAGTTTGCCTCCAGAACCGCGGCCCAGCCCCTGACCAGCCCTTTGCAGAATCGGGAGGGGAATTCTGGGCAAGCCTCTAGCAAACAGTGATTCAGGGCACTTCCCCAGGTCAGCCACCTAAAGCCACATTTCTCCCCTGGACAAAGCCTTCCCAGAGAAGAGGAAATGGGCACCCCATCCCTGCCTTCCATAAAAAGGGATGTTTGACTGTTTACCAAATGCACAAGGTCAACATCCGTTGCCTGGATCCCTGCCATATCCTGGTTCTCGGACTGGTCTTACGCCTTAGTACAATAAGGTGGTATGAATTAACCCTCCGGAGAGAGTGAAGTCATGCAAGCTGCTTTTGACTGTTGGTATGGGGTGTGGTGTGCCATAGTTTGAACTATCTCCTGGGCAAAACAAACAAACAAACAAACACACCTGCCTTCAGGTTAAAAATCTTGCACCTGAGGTAGACAGGTTCTTTCTTGCCCAGTCTATACCTCAATGAGCTACTTTTATCCTTGCCAACTGTTTTACAAATAGGACTCCCCAAGGCTCTCTCATTTTGGTGTTATTCCACACCACTACAAAATTGTAGCTGAAGAAGAGCCACTAATTTTGGTACGGTTCAAAACAGGTGAAGATTCGAGGAAGAATTGTCACTATTATTGCATTACATTTACATCCCACATGCCATTCCCTTGCAAGGAAGCTGAGGTGGTTTACATAATCCTCCTCCATCCCTTTAATCCTCATGACAACAGCCCTGTGAGGTAGGTCAGGCTGAGAGAGAATGACTGGCCCAAAGTCACCTCATGAGCTTCATGACTGAGTGGGGACCTGGGACCCAGATTTCCCAGGTCCGAACTCAATACTCTAACCACTCTGTATTGTATTTGACATGATTTGCATGAAGAATTAATTGGTTGCCTTTGCCTTCCATGAAATTTAAATAAATCTGAGTAATTATTTCAAAATGTGCATATGTAATTATGAATTAAAATATGCAGTTTTGTGTCCTCTGGGCTTTAAATACCTAGTCATGGTCCTGATTCACCCCCCTGTAATAGGCATTTAATATACTGCCACCTCGGGGATTTTCCTGACTCAGCTGCAGGTGTAAACCAGTTTTCCCTGCAGGAATTAGAACCGAGGCTGGGTCCAGGTTTCAGAGCCTCCCAGGCAACGTGCCACGTAGTCAGCCTCTTGGCAGGCTGATGCTCTCCCCTCTCAGGTTCACTCCGAGACTGGCTGGGAACTGCTGTTTTAATGTCCCACAATGCCATGGAGTGCCCATCATGATGCGTTGCAGAACAGGGGGGAAATGAAAGTGGGGATTTATAGGCCCAGCTGACTGATGTGGACCATGTCAGGCAGGTGTTGGCCCAGGTGAGTCTTCACGAGCCCTTGGGGCCCCAGCAATTGCCCAGGGATGCCAGATCCTGCTGCTGAACTTGACTAGAATCTCTCCCATTTTGAAGTACGATTCCCGAGTTGTTGGCAGCCCCTAACATCAGCCTAAGCCGAAACTGGCCCAGGGCAGGGTAAATTGCCAAGAGCAGGCTAAGCTTTTTCAGAGCTGTGCCCAAAACTGGGAGAGAGGAAGATGACTGCATAGAAAAATAACCACTCTGTTTCTTACTGCACTATCTCATGTCCCGGCTCAGAATTAGCCCTGGGACAGGCAGCAGGCCGTTGGCATCCTTGGCTACGCCCTGTTGCCATGCTGTCCTTGGGAAGAAAATCCTGGACTTGCTGCCTCTGCTTTGTGAGAACAGAACTGCTGGCTACTCTGAACAAGAAAGATTAAAGGTGTCAAGAAACCCTTTCCTGAGGGGCTGCCTAGGCAACCTCTGACTCCAGGGCTGAAATTTTGAAAAAGAGAAAGCCTAAAAGCCATTCCTTCTATAGTTAGATTGAGAAGATGAAGGAACACACCACATGCATTTGGAGAACAGCTTTTTAAATAGCACTTCTATCATTGCTGGTTGAACTCTGGTAGCTGAAACAGGTTGTGCAGCTAAGCTAGGCTGCTGTGGAGAAAAGGACTTCCTTCCCATGACCTTTTCCAGGGAGGAAGGCTGGCTGCTCTGAAAACACCAGGTGGGGTGACATTCTTTTGGCACCAAGCCACAGGTGACTTCCCCCCATCCTCAGACATCTTCTAGCAAGGGCCTTGGGGAAACTAGGCATTGAGGAACCTCATAAAAAGCAAGAAAAAACTGAGCAAGGTTGGATCAGAAGTGACTGGGCAAACTTGATTTTCATGATAGAAGTCTTGTGCCCTTCCTGATTGTGTGGGAGGCTGAAATTCAGCAGGGATGGCCTTTTCCATTGCTACAGCTTTGTGTGTGCATATGTGGGGAGGGGACAGCCCCTGTTGAACTTCTGCCCATTCCATAGCTGGTAAAGGTATGATGTGGCTGGCTGTCATCTGTACCAATAATAGCTAGTATGAAATAAGGGCTGGTCCCTGAGTAGGGACCAACTCATACTCATGAGAAGCTTTAGTTCAGTGTGTAACTCCAAGCTATCTGGTGTGGGCACACTCCAGATTAAATGATGGCATATTGAAATCCAAGTGAAAAGTCAGTCTTAACAGGCTTCAGTGCCAAGGATTACATGCAACTAATCTGGTCTGAATCCAGCCACAACATATAGAATCAAAGTACGTACTCTGCCCTCTCCAACAAATTCAACAGGGCAAGATGGAAGGCCATCACTGCTCCCATACCAGGAGAAGCTTTCTCGGTTGAATTTCTGCACGTCAGACAGATGTGAAAGGCACAGCAGCTCCAGCAAGGATGAAGCGTGGAAGCTGTATTTATTCCCACCCAGGGACTTGGATGGCAAAAGGTTAGATGAAAAGCAAAAATGATCCGTGGAGATGTGTGCATCACACCACTCAGTTGGGTCTGGCAGGAGCCCAAAAAGATCTCAGCTGCAGCTCTGCCTTCCCTGGCGTTTATCCTCCCAGGCTCTGACCCCAGAGAGTGACTCACCAGATGGGCAATCTCTCCAGCACCACCATCGCTCCAGCTCTATTGTGACACTCTAGCCTATTATGCTTAGAGGAAGCACATCCTTTGGATAATCCTCCCTGCACCGAAGTGGTACCTTCCTCATGCCTTGCGCCACAGCGCTGGCCAAGCTGGCTGGGCATGAAGGGGGCTGCAGGCTGATACATCTGGGAGACACCACACTGGGGAAGGCCGCTTTATGTACCGATTGCTGAAGGTCAGGCTGCTGCTAAGGAAGATGGTCACTGGGCGACAATTCCCCCCTCCATGGCCAACACTGCATAACCCAGCCTCCCCCAACGTGCTGCCCCCCAGATGCGTCACTGGCTGGGGATGATAGCTGTGGGAGGAGTTGTAGTCTCACACATTTGAGGGCATTGTGCTGGAAGGCTGTCCACGTTCTCTCAGAATGAGAGATGCTGGAGCTGTGACAGGAAGACCGCCACCTGCACCCTCCCCAGATGCTGCGCATTCTGCCTTGCAGCGGAAAGTCTGTAGGAGAGAATTTGCACCTCTCCTCCTGCCGGTTGTTCCCAGCCCTGTTTGTCACAGCCACAGGTCAAGCAACCCGGGCACTAATGTTGCCGCTTGGCTGAGGCTGGTCCGGGCTGGAATTGGGCCCCCAGACTTTTCCATGGCCAAGACTGCTTTGCTCTATACTTAAAGAACGCCCCTATTTGCAATCCCTCTATGTGCATAGAAACCTCCCTGCTTGCCCATCCAACCTACCTCTGTTTTGCCCATCATCTGCTCAGGTAAGGCTGCACTAAGGCAACACAGCAAAAACGAGCAAAGAAATCCCCAAACACAAGCAATCCTATACCTTAAGAGACCAAAGCGTTCACTGTAGCAGCAGAAACTTTGCTGGGCTTGATCCTGCTTCATCCCTCCGGCTTCCATCCTAGCTTTTGTCCCTGCCCTGCCTCTCTTCATCCATCCATTCTTGCAGATTCAAATGTCCATCTTCTTGCGTCCCCACCAACCCCCCTCTTTCTCCAGCCATGGGTCCCTCCTCACTCAGCCACCCGCCTGCACAGGGCTGTGCAGACAAACTCACCCATAAGGACCAACATCCAAAGCAGCCCGAAGCTGTGAAATCCTCTGGTCAAGCTGCTCATCCTTGGACGATCGTCTTCTCCTCTCTGCCTGCTCGGTGCAGCTCTGGATTTTTATATGCATGCTGGCCCCTGTGGCAGGGGGAGGCAACCTCCACCATCCCGCCCTGCCACTCCTCATCAGTCTTGCTTAACATGGCATTTTTCTGAATGTGCAAATTAGTCATCTTTATTTCCATAGAAGTGTGGATATTTTCACAGGATATTAACAACATTGGTTCTTCTGACCTTGCAGAAATTTAATTTGAGGCATTGTCTTTCTTTATACAGGTTTTTTTTTTCATAGAGAACAAGGAAAGAGATAGATAAGGACTAGGGATTTTGCAACACTTTGTAAAAAGTCGTATTATAGTTATTATCATCAACAGTGGGAGCTTTCTCTGACCAAACACACAATCAAAATGGATTAGATTAACATTAACTTTAGATTAACATTAAAGTTCTCTTATCAACACTGGATTTTGATTAGCTATAGCCTGTGGGTGCCAGGAAATTCTTGGTTATGGGATGGATGGAATCAGGCTAGGATTCTAAAATAGCCATCTAGGAGCCAGATCCAGTGCACCAAATTTAAAGCTTGCCCATAATTTAATTAATAAATAAAGTAAAAGTTATTTCCAAGGTGTAGGAAGTAGAATATTGCAAAATTTCAGGTGTAGGAAGTAGAATATTGCAAAATTTCAGGTTACTCATTCATTCATTGTTTCACAGAATTATTAAAATGTCCACAGTGATTTATAAAAGCTAAAATGCAACATTGGATTAGTTCCAGGTTTACTAGTACTTAAAGTTAACCCACTGAAATCAGTGAAATGGGTTAGGTGCTAGGCACCTAAACCTAGGAAAGGGAGACCAGTGGCTGAGGACTGTGGAAGCCATCCTGGTGCCTTGCAAGAGGAAACTCAGCGGGATATAAGTGCAAAGTAGCAGTCACTCGTTCCTAGTCCTTATGATAGCGGAGTTAAATTTGGAAGGAAGAACAGGAGTAGCAGCAGGGGGTTGGACTCGATGGCCTTCTCGGCCCCTTCCAGCCCTACTGTTCCAGGATTCTATGAAGTGCTTGCCGTGTGCGTGTTTGTGCGTGGCACTCGCAGCGGTAGTAAAGCTAGTTGGGAAAAGCTCAGCTCCTGGGCATGCAGCAACGAAGGGATAACGCACGAACACCTTGGGGTTGTGTGCTCCAAAAGCGCAGCTGCAGGACAAGAATGCGGAACTGCTCGTTTGCGGCTCCGAGAGCTCCTCTTCCGAGGAAGGCAGCGGGCGCCCCGGCTGGGAGAACGGAAGCCGGCCGGCCGAGCCCCGCAGAAGTGCCGGAGCGCTTGCAAAACGACGGCAGGGGAAGCGCTCTGCTCGGGCCGCAGGTGCAACGTGGGGTAGGTTAAGCTGGGCCGAAAAAATGCTCGGAGCTTGCCCGTGCGAATCAAGGACGGGGAAACGGAATCCTGGCTTTGGTCCGGGTTTCGCCACCCCCACTGAAATCAACGGGACTTTATGACCCATCGATTTCGGTGCGCCTACACGATTAAGTCGTAACTTCCTCACAGTGCGAGATTCCGAGGGCAGCTAGGCCGCTTCCCTCATCCCCTTTCAATCAAACACATGCTTTCTGGTAAATGCCCTTCTGGTCCTTTTTAAAATTTCTGCTGAGCATCTAAATACATTTCTAACTCGTCTTTGGTTTCCTTCGTTTTCCTTCTTTGGGCTTTGCGGGGTGGGGTAGGAGAGAGAAGCTCTTCTAGGCCCCATTTGCCTGTATCTGTATTTATTAAAATGTTTCTACCCCCCCTGAAAACAGGACCCTCAAGTGCAGTGCTTTTTGGCAAAGTAAATTAGGGGTGTGTGGGGGGGGGGGGGGAGACTTGATCTGGATCAGGACTGAAGAGTGGAGTATAAGGTTAAAGACCCTGTGCCCCCTCCCCATTCTAAGGTCCCTGTCAGGCAACCAGGGCTAAATGTTGATGAAATATGAAAAGCATTCTACCAATGCATTTAAAGAAATTTATTTTTAAGGTTTTTGTATAGCATTCGACTACTATTGTCTTTACCTATACTAAAGCTAGGATGGGTGTTCCTGACTCTGTATAGAGGATATTGGACTTCAGTTCCCATTCGCCCTAGCCATCATGGCCAATCATCCGGGGTTATGGAATTGTAATCTAACATCTAAGGGCTGCAGGTTTCCTATACCCACTTTAAGGGGCCCTCGCCTTAAAAGTTGGCAACAGTTCTTTCCTTGACATCCTTTGCTCTTCACTGAGTTTAGCCATATAAGATTCAAGCTTTTCAGTTCTCTCCCACAGCAACAAAATTCCTGGTTATGCCAAGAAAACACTCCTCCTCCTCCTCCTCCTCCTCCTCCTCCTCCTCCTCCTCCTCATCATCATCATCATCATCTAGTGTCTGCAACTCTGGTCACCTCACTCAAAAAAAATAAATTTTGGGGTAGACCTGGAAGAGGTACAGAATTGTACCATTAAAATGGCAGACCTTTCACATGAAGAGAAGCTAAAGATAATGAGAGTTGAAGGGACATCCATCTTGTCTAGCTTAAACTTCAGGTTCTTCACCCACATCCTGTCCATCATTGATTTGAGGTACCAATTCATAACTTCAACTTTACCTGTTTAGGATCAAAGGGAAATAAGAAAGAGAGCTGAATGTTATCTGAATATTGATGGCACTTTGGCCTTAACTGTCAGGGGACTTTTACTAGTGGCTTTATGCCGATGTCAAAGCCTACGGGGAAGCAAGATAGATGCCTGCAGTCCATCACACACCACAAGCAGAGCAGCAATCCCCCAGCATCACCTTCTGGCAGCTGTTGCTGTTGTCTTTTGCTATAAAGTCATCTCCAATTTATAGCGACCCTATTAATAAAAGCCCCCCAGAATGTTTTATCTATGATGTTCCTGCTTAGTTGTTCTAAGTTCAAGGTTGTAGGGTTGGAAGGGGCCAAGAAGGCCATCCGGTCAACCCCCCTGCTGTTGCAGGACTCCACACTTTCAGATGAAAATGTCCAGTTTCTTTTTAATGTCTCTGGCATGGGAGAGCCCATGACCTCTCTAGGCAACTGGTTCCACATTTGTATTGCTCTGAAAGTTGGGAAACTTTTCCCGATAACTAGTCATTTGTCACAACTTGAGTTCAATATTCTGTGTCCTATACGTTGTGATTAGCAGGAAGAGTTCTTGTGCTTCCTCTTTGTGACAGCCTTTCAGATACTTGTAGAGTGCTATCAAATTCAGTCTTCTCAATGCTAAACATGCCCAGTTTTCTCAGTCTCACCTCACAGGGCAGTGTTTCCAAACCCTGGATAATTTTTGTTGCCCTCCTCTGGACCCATGTCAATCCATCTCATATTTGGTCTTTCTTTTCTTCTTCTGCCTTTGACTTCCCCTAGCAAATGGTCTTCTGCAGGGAGTCTTTACACCCCTGTAATATGGCACCCCATCCTAAGGACAGAGGATCAGCATGGACACACCCTGGCCAAGAATCAAAAGGCCAGCAGGGGCCCACTGGCAAAAGCCCCCTGGACTTGTTCCTCCTCCTCCTCCTCCTCCTCCTCCTCCTCATCATCAGTGCAACCTGCTTATTCACCTGCTGCTCTCTCTGGCCAAGACAACAGTGGTGGCAAGAAGGAGGAATCGTTGGGGCCATTCCTCAGCAAGCAAGCGACAGCATAGCTTAGAAAGAGGATGAGGAGCAATAGCAGCTGGGGATAATGGCAGTGTGAAGGTCAACTCAATGAGGTGGGAGGCCCATCGAGAGCATCCAGCCCAAGGGCCTTCAGAAAGCTGGAGCCAGCACTCCCCATGCCCGCCCCCAGCCGGGTAATGTCAAAATATGCAGTGCCTGATGGTATCAGTTGTCACTGAGATCCAAGAGAGACCTGTCAAGGTCACGCTGGCCCATCTGTGTCCCAGCACGGATGGTCCACTAAAGACCTCGGTACCAAAGCAAGGTTGGAAAGGAGGCTAAAATGCAGTGGTGCGTTTGGTTTGCCCTTGCAGTACATGTGCTTCCATCTTTGCCACCGAGTCCTAGCATGCTCCATTTGAGAGCAACCAGTATTTTTTTCACCTTGGTTAGTGGGTGCTGGATAAAGTGCATTGCCTAGCAACCATGAAATCCTCCCCTGCACCCCACCTTCCATCATCCCGACTGATAACATAGTTTTGCCAAACTGACTTGTGGCTAACACCTCCAGGCAGAATTCTCCAGGTGTGCACGTCCTGAGCCAATGAGTGGTCTCCGTTTTATTCTGGAAAGACTATATCAGCACCCAAGGGAAATGCGGATTTTCTTTAGAAGTCGGGGGTGACTTCATGAGTGATCATCCAGTTGCGTCAATGATCTGGCTACTCCTTAGCCAGGTGGGGATGAAGGATACCCAGTGGCTCTGCAAGCCGAGGCATGCGTTCCCTTGGCTTCTTCGTACCTGGAAAGCAATTCATCCAGCCGGTGGCATATCAGGCACATGAGCTTCCTCCCTCTCCCTCCACAAATGATAGATGAGCTTCCTTATCAGACAGGCATCGCACTAACTCAACTCACTGGTGAACAGCCATGAAACTGCCTAGGCTGGCAGTCAGGATTCGAGTTCAGCAGGAATCATGCTCCCCGTGACACCCTGAGGGGAAGGGGGAGCCCGAACTGGCATGCAACTGGCATGCACAGTAAAGAAAGTGAATAAGCCAATGACGTTTCATAAGGGAGAGGTCTTGAAGGGATGCCTTTCATGGTGACTATGTAGCTCACGTGTCGATAGCAATGGTTGGCCTTTGGAGCTTGACTCTGGGCCCTGGAATGCCCGAAACGGACCACGCCACTGAAGCAGAGTCACGAAGACCCACGGTAGGAGCCCTGGTGCCGAGTCGCTCGCTAAGGGTTGCTGCTTGCAGATGAGGCTTTTGTTCTGCCGTGACCCTGCCTTGTTCATGGCATTGCTGGGGGCGTCCTGACGGTAGCATCATCTCCAGTTGTGACCCTCCTGTGTTCGCCCCATCTTTTTTTCTTACCACAAGAATTCACTAAGGAGGAAAAACCAAGATAGCTGCACAGTGCTCTGCCCATTGATAACCCTTGGCGCCAACTCTTTAGAACTTGTGGCCCAGCAAATGTGTTGGCTGACATCTCCCATCAGCCCCTAACCAGCAGAGGCAATGGT